TATATGTGATGCAATCACTATTTAAATTTAATTTTGAGTGTCTGATATTAAAGACTAAATTATGGGTTAATATCAGAAATTAATTTAGAATTTTATAAAAGGTTTCAATAAATATATCATGGTCATCATAAAAAATATAGTTTCCTTCTCAAAAAATATATAATTTATATTATTTGGTAAAAAACCATTTAAAAACATTGTCTTAATAATTAAATTACATTTTATATATTATAATTAAATTTATTTTCTTGTTACTATCAGAGAGTTGTAATTTAAAATTTATATATTTCGTAAATCGTTTCATTTGTATACAATGGTATGTTAATATGTAATTTAAAACTCGACTTTAATTTAATACATTTAGATTCGACTTATGTATTTTTATTTAGTTTTTCGCAATTTAAATATTTGGATCTGATAAATTGACTAACTACCAATAATTTAAATGCAGACAGAGTAAGGTGATAATGTATGTTATGAATTAACTTCTCATTGTTGTACTTAATTTCGTCGTGAAAGTTTTTCATACTGTTAATATTATTGTATTGTTTTTATTAATAACATTAGCTCCGCGTCATGTATCGTGTTATCTCGTTCCCTGTCCGTCTGTTATCAGTCATATAATCTCAGCTGACCTCTTTATTGTTTATTTATTGAACACTTTATTGGACGCCACACGACACACTACACAATGATAGCGACGTAAATGGTAAGAACAATGTTGCAGACACTGTGACTTGTGAGGAAAGATGTATACAGTAGAACTCCAATTATCCGAATTAATGGGGTTCGGGACCCATTCGGATAATCAAATATTCGGATAATCGGAGTTTTTGTTTAATTGCCACTGGAGAGAAAAAAAGTTACATTTTGGTAGTGCGCTATTTTTTTATTGAATTAAATGAAAGAAACATGACATTTTCACATGTTTTAAATATAAATAAATTGTACTTATGTACAAGTTTAGAAATAAAAATCATTGTTTTTTAAATATCTTCGTCAATGTAAGCTGTTTTGCGGTCCTAACTTGCCGTTGTGCCTACACTGACTTCGCGGGGGGAAGAATAATAGCGCACTTAGACTTTTTTTGGACAATTTTTTTTCTGAAAGTGATTCTTATAATCGGCGATTCGGATAGTCGAACTTCGGATAATTGGAGTTCTACTGTATATTGTCTTTTAAGTATTTTTTAAGGAACTAAACTAAAAGAAATTAAACTCGCGTTGCTCTGTAACCAAAGAAACGACTTAAAGTTTATTCCTTTTCAATATCTCCTTAAATCCATCTTCCTTTGTTTTTTTCTACAATTTTACCATTCTTTATTCGTATTCTTTATTCGTAGTTTTGCAAATATATATTTTTTCCTGCAAACGATCATTTCGACTTTATTCCTCAAACTTGTAACCAATATCCTTATAATGAGATATTGTCACACTACATACGTAGCGTTTCCTGTATGTCAGTCAATAATCTCTCTTAATACTATAATGTTAGAAGTTAGTTGAGTGAAAAACTTGTGGTAAGAACACGTAATATGTATGTAAGGTTTGTCTGTCTGTCTCAGCCCTAAGACAGTAATTGTATCATAATATTACTGTAGTTGACGGTGGGAGTGTGTACTCGTGTAGCGGTCACAAGGTCCATCGATCGCACATCAATTATTCAATACTCTAGACCGCGAGTGGAAACAAAACGAAATCGTTTAATATTAATATTAATAGAGGATGTATGTGTGTATGTGTCGACGGAACAGGCCTCTGTTAATGTTACGATAGAATGTGTGATTACTACAGAGCTCATTGATCTAGAATGATCTTACATACAAACTGTTCAGGGGATAGATAGAATATTACTAACATAGATAGGAGGTAGCTATAAGATAGCCAGCACCATCACTAAGCTGTCTTCTCCATTGCACAATATATATATCTCGTTGTCAACATAATATTATCAATGAACAGAAATCAGTGTCTTTGCTTCACTTTCACTTGCCAAAAATTATGTAAAACGGAATATTTTAATGACATATTTTTTTGGGTCAATTTTATAAATGTTAAATAACATGTATTCAGGTTTGAACCGTTTTATCAATGATGCTATTATATACATACATAGTCTTTAATTTATTCATATTATATAAATACAATCTTATATCTGCTTGTTTATCCGCGTGGACTTTGAGTAGGCTTCAAAGGGTAATACGTAGGTAGTAAGTACTCTGTTAAATGTTAAAACAATAGTCATGTTAGCTCACAGCGCCATCTATGGTCCTCGGCACGGGACTTCACAAACATTACAAGTGGTAGGACTTGTAGTTCCCACGGGATTCAAGGATAAGTTATTATCATGTGTCTTATACTTATTATTATGTATCCTGATGTTTGAACTACTTCACTATCAAATTTCACTACCTTTTTTGTATAAAAGAGTAGGTATAAATTCGAGTTTCGTATCATAATATAACTAGGATATAAATATGTATATTATGTTTAAAGAGTATTGCGATTAGTAGTAGGAGTAGGTAGTGTTTTGCGGATTTTATTGGATGTAAAATATATTTTTTGATTTTATAATACATAGTTATATTGTATAAAAGCAGTGCCTTAAAAGATATACGTTACTCTATAGTCTATATGTACACCAGAGCCATCTGTTGTGTTCGTGTATTTAACATAATGACGGAAGACTCTCAATGACTTACAGTGATCGGAGACGATACTAACATTCACTTTGTGTCTTCACACAAACTACAAGGTCGCTCTTCAGCTGTCACTGATTAGTGATTACAAATTGTATGATGAAGCTCATATATATAAATATAAATGTTATATGTTTGGGAAAAGAAACTAGTCTCCTAGACTTGTTCATTTGATCTTAGATGTCATCATCATAGAAAGGTTATTCTCGATGTTCTATGCTGGAGTTTTATCACAATATCACCAAATAAAATCACCAAAGTTTTAATATTCGTTTGCTGGCTTTATAAACCAGTTACATTATATTTTACCTGATAGTTTTGTAGTTTGTGTGATTGAAAGGCAATTTAGTATAAATATATGTATTATAATATTATGATTTAATTGTTATTGATACGTGATTACAGTGCTAGGTTTGTATGGCGACTGGCGACAGATATATACGAGTATAATAATTAATGTAGTATGTAACATGTCGAATATCGGTTTGTTTTTAAGTGTCAATATGGACAGTGATTTAAATAACATCATCCCTACTAATATTATAAATGGAAAAATAACTCTGTCTGTCTGTCTGTTACGCTTTCACGCCTAAACCACTGAATTGATTTTAATGAAATTTGGTACAGAGATAGAGTTGACCCTGAGAAAGAACATAGGATAGTTTTTATCTCAGACTTTTGAAAGGTTCTCTTGGAAACGCGATATAACCGAACTCCACGCGGGCAAATCTGCGGGCGAAAGCTAGTACTATATAATACGTAGGTACAATATCTTTTCATCAGCATCATTTGATGATGAACCATCTCTTCATAGTCTTATGAGTATTTTATTAATATATGTAACTCTCTGGCACGTGCGTCTGTCAGTAAGTTCACAGTTACCCAGTCAGTCTTTTGTTAGAGAACTAACAAAAAAACTCTTCTACCGTTACAGAATAGTGATCAAAAAAATAAAGATATGTAGACGAAATGAGATTAGAGGTGGTTACGAAAAGTTGAAGTAGATAAAATAGTGTTTCATGAAATAAATCTCTGGATTATTTTCGTCTATTTTTAATGTAATCATACTATTTGTATCTCAGACGTACATCTCAGTTATGTTACAACACAGATGAGACGATTGAAACATTAACACTGACACTTATACGAGACTGAAATATTAAACAACGTGTAGAAAACTTTAATGTATGAATACACATATTATTTTATGTTTAAACTTTTGTATGTACGTGTTACATATTAAAAAATAAATGAACATCGCCGGGGCAATAACGTTGTATGTATAAAATATATAACGAGTGACGCCGCTGACTCCGCGGAACGAACACCAAGCCGTGTGAACCAGAAGATTCCTGATACCACACAAGCTATGGAATGGTATTGATATCATAACATCGGGACAATCATGTAGTCTTAGGTGTAGGTTATAAGTTTTAATATGTAGTTCTCATTATATGTACATATAAGTATGTTTCTATATAATCGTTTGTGAGGCGAGTGTTTGTATTAATATATCATTACAATAGCGGCCAGTTACTGAGTCCAGTGATCCGTCAACGCGTTAAGTAAACCAGCGGAGTTACACAAACAGTTTCGTGCCAAAGATGCAGTACTTTGAATGGGGACCTTGAACACTGGTTGTGTATAGGGCGTACATTAATGAATACACTCGGAGAACGAGTTCACGAGCTCTTGATACGTTTATTAACACTTGCTTATAAATATTAATTGAAGTGAAATATATAATATAGAGATATATTTATGAAGAGCAAGTATTGAACCTGTTACCTCTAGAGTGTTGATTTCCAGTTATTTTAGTTATAAAAATATAAAGCTTCCACAGTGTAAGGTTATAGGAAAGTCATTTGTTATTAAATGCTTAAAAACTAACGTAGGATTTATTGATGTGTTTATTGGTATTTTTATCTTCAATTTTCCAATTATATAGTTTATATAACAATGTAGACTATAGTTCATCTCTCTACTCCGTGTATTTCGTACAAACATATAATTGTATTGTGTATCAAGTCGGTCGAAGAACATGTTAAATACACACCACATACTATATACCAATTACACGTTTTCTCTTATAGTCCAGTCATTTGGTGCGAGAAAAGGGTTTTACAGGGTACGAGGTAGTAAAGTTGGGATTCAAAAAGAGCATACTGAAATCTTTGTAAGACTTTGTAAATTTTGTAAAACTACAAATGACTGGTCTATTATCACAGAACTAATCACAACGCGGACAAAGTCTGAGACGTGAACTAGTGTTGTTATAGTTTTAATGTTCTTGTGTCCCCAGGGTCGTACCAGCCCAGCAATGAGCTGATGCTGCGATTCTACAGCTACTTCAAGCAAGCGACCGAGGGTCCCTGCCTCAAGGACAAGCCGGGCTTCTGGGACGTCGTCAACAGGTCAATAACCTTCAAAATTATCTGCTCATATTACATCTTTATATGTATATATAATTCTTCTGTGAGTGTGTATGTCACTGAACTTTTCTTAAACGACTGGACCGATTTTGATCAAATATTTTGTGTGTGTTCAAGGGGATCTGGGAATGGTTCAGATTCACAATTTTGTCCGCTGGACAATTTTTTTAAATTAATTTTTAATTTATTAGTTGTTGTTGATTCGTTTTTTTTTTGACATTAGATTTGACAACTAATTAATATGTCAATTATTCTGTCGCACTTCAAAACACGGAGATTTAATAGGTAAACTCCAAAAATATGACTAAAAAAACGGAACAGATATTTCTTGATTATAGGGCGATACGAAGTTCGCCGGGTCTTCTAGTATATATATAAGAACTGTCATGACTTAAAGAGGTTTTAATATCGGTTTCAGAGCGAAATGGGAAGCGTGGAACAAACTGGGAGACATGACCAAGGACGAGGCGATGCAGGCCTACGTGAACGAGTTACACAAAGTAAGTGACCCACGACACATGACCTCCGCCGTACAGGTCACCAGTATAAGGATTCAGTTCAATAATGTATTACAATACACATTGTTACACCGACTGGTCAAAGGTTGCTTCAATTAAACGTTATCTATCAGTGACTATAACAAAATACTAATTAACTCACTCACAATCAATTCAAGTGATTAAAATCATATCGATTGATATACATGTATGTATGTATGTAGTAATGAGTCAAGGAAAACATTCCATTTACTTGTATAAAATATTAAATTGAACGATGAGCGTCATCTGTTATGAACTTGTGGAGTCTCATTAAATGAGTAACGCCATCTAGTGACTGGTGTCAATAAAATGGTATTAAATGTTTTGTAGCGATGTTAGTATGTATGTGGACATTTCAAGACTTAATATGTATATACTAGATATTTAATTTACCTTAATTAACCAGAATTGACTGAAGAAACATTTTTAACTTGTATGTATTGTGTATGTGCGCGTGTCCATTGTCCGTGTGTGTTCGTCCGTCATCAGATAGTGGAGACGATGTCGTTCAACTCGGACGTGGCGTCCTTCTTGTCTGTGGAGGACGGCTCGTCGTTCCCGAGCGCGGACCTGCAGCTGGTGGCCGGGGACGTGCTCGGGAGGGGTCGCTCCGCTGAGAATTCACCTGACTGTGAGTACAATTCATTTTATTTATTTTTATACCAAGAAAGTAAGTATACAATAAATTATTAATAATAGATGTGTACAAGGGATATCTTATCTCTAACAAGAGATCTCTTATCTCTAACAAGAGATCTCTTCCAGAAATCCTGATTAAAGTGGAGACCATTACAAATTTATAGTGTAGGTACAATATCAACAAACTACTTATTATTATAAAATTGAAGTAGACTTTTTTTTTAAATGTGATAATGAACACATTATATATTAATTTATATGACCCAAAGAGGCAAACGGACAGACGGTCTACCTGATGCCAAGTAGTCACCGTCGTCCATAGACATCTGCTACATAAGATATGTTTAATTATTATGAACTCTGACGGCCGCATAAGTTGTGGTGGATTAAGAATCAAACGTTCTTTCTGTCCAATCTAGAAGCTTTGGATGAACTTACTTTAATAATGTTTTGATTTCATATTACCCATTCTTGTTATAATAAGCGATAATATCATCCCTACTAATATTATAAATGCGAAAGTAACTCTGTCTGTCTGTTACGCTCTCACGCCTTAACCACTGAACTGATTTTAATGAAATTTGGTACAGAGATAGAATTGACCTTGAGAAAGAACAGGATAGTTTTTATCCCAGACTTTTAAAAGGTTCTCTTGGAAACGCGATATAACCGAACTCCACGCGGGCAAAGCTGCGGGCGGGAAGCTAAGAAAGTTATATATGTATATAACCAAATGATCTTTATATTCAGTTTATAAATTAAATGTTTTCAGTTCATTTCAGACTACCCTCTCTCAACCAAGACATAATCTATTTTTTACACTATAAATAATACTTGTTATGTTTCACTCTCCGTCCAGTCTCTCGTTCAGTGAGCGGGTCATCGTCCCCGGTCCGGAGCGCGTCTCCGGCCACGACGCGGACACGACACGACTCCGACGACGAGTTCATTGACACGGAAGACGTTACTGCAGTCAGTATAATGATATACTTTACGACACATATCAGTTGTCACAGTTATGTATTTATATGTATATATATATATATATATATATATGTTACAGAACGAGCAGGTAGTAGTGGAGCACCAGCACCAGCGACACTCACAGGCTCCTCGCCTCAGTAACGGACACGCGCACCAGATAACATCACAACTGACACGTGAGTTACTAATATATGTAATATGTAATAATAACTAGAAGACCCGGCGAACTTTGTATCGCTCTATAATCAAGAAATATCTGTTACGTTTTTTTATTTATATTTTTGGAGTTTACCTATTAAAGCCATAAATCTCCGTGTTTTGAAGTGCGACAGAATATTTGTCATATTACTTTGTTGTCAAATCTTATGTCAAAAAAAACGTTTGTATCAACAACTACTAATAAATTAAAAAACATTGTTTAGCCGACAAAATTGTGAATCTAAACCAGTCCCAGATCCCCTTGAACACACACAAAAAATTTCATCAAAATCGATCCAGTCTTTTGAGAGAAGTTCAGTGACATACACACTCACAGAAGAATTTTATATATAAAGATTATATTCCAATCCTCGACCTATTTTCTTTGATGAGCCACTAATTTAACCAAACTTTTAAATAGGAAAACCGAATTTTTCAATCAATTAAAATATGATATGAGTTTTGATTGTGTTTACATAAATCATGTTGCGCCATCTCTGGCGGGATGCAGTAGATAACAATATTAACATAGTTCTATAAGTTTTTAACTGATACTAACTTTATGAGTCTGTGTTACTTGATTTTTTTATTATAAATAAAAATTAAATATGTTAATTTGATTCATATAAATAATGTTATATATATGTATATTTAATGTACGTATATGTCCAGACCTCAAAGTGTTGGAGCAGCTGCCGGGCGTGTTGAACAGACTGGAGGCGGACGTGGCCGCGCTGAGGAAGGCTGTGGAGGGAGACAGGAGGATACTAGACGTGAGTTAGATAGACTACATTACGGATATTATAACGTAGGTGATGTTATAAGAGAGGAAATTGGGTGTTTGGCTACTTCAAAGGGTTATTGTAAGGGTAATAATGAATTAAAATGTTCAAAAGAGGTTTCTGTGGCACCTGTCTTATAGTTGTAACGTAACTAAGACACACCCTCATTACATTGACCGATTAAAATACTTTAACCTTGATTCTCTACAAAATAGAAGAGAAATACTTGACCATAGATTTCTGTTCAAAATTGTTAACAAAGATATAGACAGCCCGCAATTACTTTCAAAACTATACTTTAATGCACCAGTTAAACTCCTAAGAATGCTCGTGTATACTCCATTCAACACAAAAAAATGCAAAAGTAATCTCGCTCACTATTCACCTTTGAATAGAATGACATTAAAGTTTAACTCTCTTTTTAAAAATACTAAAATTGATATATTCTCGGGAAGGCCTCTTGAATTCAAAAAAACAATTAAAAAATGTTTAACTAATTAAGCTTAGATTTTACTTTCTAGTTATTTGTTCTTCATGCACTGTATTTAAACTAAAGTATATTAAAACTAAAATGTTAACTTTGTGATTACATTCACTCTGTTACTATTTCAGCATGAAGTGGTTGCCTGTAACTGAGGTAGCACATATGTAGCATCTTAATTATTGTATTAATTTAAATGGTTGTATTTGTGTATATGTACTTTGTTGGCGATCCAATAAATAAATAAATAAATTTTGTATTTTTATAAACTATCTTGGAATTAAAGAGTCTTTTGTCCTGCTGTAGACTGTTCTCTAATAATCCTTCAATCTTTATCTATATATGGTGTGTACAGCAAGTGTCGAGCGGGTGGCGCTGGCCGTGGCAGGAGCTGAGTCCGCCGACTTTACTGCTGGTGCTCGTGTGGCCTCTCATACTGTACAGACTGACGGCGCGCAGGCAGAGGGCGGCCTAGACGGTACACACACACACATACACATACACTGTACATGTTCATAGTGTTCACATCTCTAACTACCTTCTATCTCCCTCTCTCCAGGGTCGGTGTATTCTGTGTGTGACGTCACAGCTCGCCTCCCCGCCCCTCGGACCCTCACGTCATATGTTAATTAATGAAATGCATCTGCATGTGGTCCTTCGGGGAGGAAACATAATGTAACAGTTTATAATATATGTATAATGAGTTTTGTTACCTATATGTATTAAGTATAGTTCCGTTTGAGTTTGGAGCCGAGGTGACCGCGGGGTCGATGACCTTCATGTGATATGATTAGTTTCTCGGGTGTTTTCTTGTGGACTCTCAACATTCGTAAAATATTGTTTTTTTATATAAATAAAGGGGGAATTTTTATTATTTTACTTGTTTTATTTATTTTTATTATACACAAGGTTCCCAATTACAGTTCTAAGATTTATAGGATTTCCGAATTAAGTGTCCATTCAGGGTTACCTAACTTAGTCCCAGGCTTAGTTCGAGATGATATACATTGATAAAATTTAACTCCTTTTAATAATAATAATAATAATATGGGAAATCACAAATCAGGAATATTTAGTACTTGTAGAGATCATTCTGTCATCACTCAGGAAGATTACATCAACTCTTATATCTAAAATGCCACCTCGGTTCATCTGGATACAATGTGTTAATGATAACAACATATTTTAGTATACAATGGTTGGATGTTGCAGAAAGGTAATACCAACTGTTTCAGGGAATTGACAAATGCAGAGGAAAAAAGATTTTAAATAACAAAAAGAAAACAAAAGCGTTTTATTTTTATCAAATACTATTGTTAAATTTGAAATAACATTCATTAATAAAGCAACTAAATAAAAATTCCTAAATAAATCATGTTTGAGAAGCCCAATCCATCTCAAAAGTTTTTGCAAGTTTACTGATCTCCATACCATATTTTTCTGATATTTCCTTCCTATCCACTTCCTTGTAAAGCCTTCAGCTTCTTTCAACACACTATTTAGCCTCCCGCAACAAATACTTACTGACTCTATAGATTCAAAGTAATTATTAATACACAATCTATGTGTCCAGGTTTATAAAACTCAATATCTTGGAGTTATCTGAGACCTTCCTGGAACACTCACATCGTCTATGTCAGTGATAGATTAACAAAACTGATTTGGATATATTTTAGTTCATTAAGACAAATAGTGCCGAAAAATAATACCTAAAACTCGACTCGAAAGATCGACATTAAAAAGTTCTTATCTACACTGCTTTGGTTCAATCTATATTGTCATACTGTATTAATGTTTGGGATGGCGTGTGTAAAACCAAAAAACAAATTGACTGATTTGGAACGAGCTTTATAAAATGTATACATTTACTTTACGAAGTGTAATCGTAGTGAAAAAATTGATGCCCCTTCTAAATTACTAACTGTTAAAAATTTATTCAGCATAGTGTATTGAAACTACATAAAACAATGCCAATCGACTTTAACTTTCAAAAAGGAGGATTAATTTAGTTCAAGTGATCCTCACAAACTAGGACAGTATTATTGTATACACAATTTAACGAAAAACCGTGCAGTTGTATAACCAATTGAATAATTTAATAAAAAGCACAAAAATAACCTGTTTTGAACATAAGAGTGATACCGCGAAACTTTTAAAACTATTAAATTGTGAGGAGACAGGGATATATTTAAATTATAGACAAATCTTAAATTTAATAATTTTTTGATGAAACTGTCACAATCAAAATATTTCGGGAACAGATTACAAATAGAAAATGAATTAAAAACTTTTCTACAATTGTAAGTTAATATACATATAATTAATTTAATGGAAATATATCGTCTTAATTATGATATTTAATGTATTGTAGGATTGTTATACATTAATTGTAATTTACGCAATGCCATTTATTTCTGTTAATGTCAACAGTCCTTGTGACAGGCAGTTACTCTGGAAAGGTCAAACAACAATAATAGGTTTTTATAGAAATAAAACGTTCTGACATCCGCCGACTTTATTGTAAACCAGCGACAAACACATCGCAATACAAAATAATAATAATAATAAACTAAACAGGTTCGATTCAATAACTTAACAAATAAAACATGGCCGTAGAGGAACTACACTATGTACACGAAAGGTCACAGGTTTAACGGATACTAAACAATAAACAAAATAAACGAAAATACTTTCATGTCACAGATTAAAAAAATGGCGCTAGAGTGTAACGCGGGAATATAATCTGTGACGGACGTCGCTCAGACAGAAACACAGACTTAACTAACTTAGAATAAAACTAGCGGCTTTAAACACTATCACGAAAATGAGAAGAATTACACTTACAGGTACTCGATATAAGAACATACAGAACGAAAGAAACGTCAACAAACATACGAAACAGAACAAAAATACATCAAACGTAAAAAAATATATTACAATACAAAATAAAAAAATATTAAAAGTAATTCAACATGTTTAGACTCGGAGATTACAATATCACTTTAAAACATCTTCAACGACGGTGAGGGGGGGGGGAATAAATAAAGCTCATGGTATATAAAGGGCATCGACTACAGCGTGTTTCCAAACATCATGCGGTCGTCGTAGAGGCTGAGTCTGTTCCGGGCCTGCTCGCCGGCCCTCTCCCGGGCGCGCGCCCTCCTCACGGCGGCGGGCAGGTCCCCCGGCGTCTTGACGCGGCCCGCGGGGTTCAGCAGCGAGGCGTCCCCCGACCTGAACACGTCCCGCACCTGCTCCAGCGAGCGCTGCCTCTTGATGCTGCTGGTGGTGCTGTGGTTCTCCTTGTCGTGGTGGTCGCTGTGCTCGTCTTGGAGCGCGCGGTACTTGTTGTGCGTGTTGTTGTGGTCGTGCGTGTGCGCGGCCTCCCGCAGCACGCTCCTCATGCTGACCCTGCCCCCCCCACTCTCCGCCAGCAGCAGCTGCTCGTCCTCGCTGCACCCGTCCGACCGCAGCTCGTCCTCTCCGTCCAGCTCGAGGTCGCTCCTGCCGCCCGGTTCGTGTATCACCTTGGGCACGATGACCGCGAACACCCTCCCCCCGCCCCCCGCGGGCAGCTCCCTGAACACCTTGTCCGTGTTCATCTCCGACTCCCTCATCATGGTGGGGCTGAGCGTCTTGTTGGGAGGCGAGAGGGTGCAGGGCTCGAAGGTCAACGACCTCTCGTCGTCTAGTATCAGGTTGGAGGGTCGGTCGAAGGTCAGGTTGGTGAACTTCTCCACCAGCGACGTCTTCACCTTCCCGTTCCGTCCGTTGTTCTCCGTGTGTTGTACCCGCGTGTCCTTGTTCTTCTTGTCGAACAGTCTCCGCAGCCCCCACCTCTTCTCCCTGCCCGCGTCCCTCACCCCTTCGTGTGACGTCACGTCATTCTGCACGTACTCCAAGGGTCTCTGGTATGATCGTATCTCGTTCATCCGCTCCACGTTGTCTCTGTGCGCGTGTGTCCCGGCCAGCGTCACACCGTTCTGTTCGTTCCTGTGTTCGTCTCTGTGTGTCTTGTGTATCAGTTCCACTGTATGTGTCTGTGTGTGTGTGTTAGTGTTCCTCTCTATACACGTGTTCCGTCCCATGTGTGGGTCGGGGTACAGTAGCGGGGTGGAGTCAGCGGTAGGGACCACGTTAGCGTTACACTTCTTATCAGCATCAGTGAGAGACGCGTCGGTGGAGCCTGAAACCGATCAACAAGTATATAACTAGAGGTCCCGTACATCTTTATATATATAAAAATTTTGTGTCACGTGTTTGTCCGCGATGGACTCCTAAACTACTAAACCGATTTTAAATTTGATTTGCATTCCGTTTGCAGTTTGATCCAACTTGAAAGATAGGTTAGCTTACACCTCAATTTATAGTCACAATATTATTTTATTGCAAATTATTTGTCTATTAAAGAAAATGATTTGTCATTATTACAATTATCTGTTGACTGAGTTAAGTATTCAATACATAATAAATAGCATAACCACTACTAGACCAGTGCCGATAGCTTTTAAAACATAATTAAATTATAGTAGAATGAAACTCATTAGAAAAGGAGGGGAATATTATAAAAATTAAAGGAAAATAATTTACGGGCGATCTGAGGTCGGGAAGGGTGTGGGAATGGGTATTTAAGGGTAAAAAATGGGTTTTCTCGATTTCTTGCAAAACTAAAAGTCCTACGGAAAAATGTTATATCGCAAAATTGTAGGTAATAAAGAGATCTAAAACTTTTGTCCTAACATTTTTTTCACATAACCAGAAAATTTATGTGAAAAATTCGAAAAACCAAGATTTTGTTTTTTTATTTTTATCTCTTACAAAAAACAGTATTTTGTCACGAAATTTGGTGTTAAAAATGCACTGTAATTTATTGGATTAAAAAAAAAATTCAGTTTATTTTGAATAAATACCGAAAAATCAGCCTCATTTTCAATCGAAAAATCCACCCGTCATAATATCAACTATTTTCAAAATTTGGTACGTTTTCAATTTGTTAAAATCTCTATTTTCCGATGGTGAAGAAAAAAAATAGAAGTTTCTTACTTGCAGTACCATTTTTGGATAAAATAATCATGTCCCTTTTAATGAAATGACACTCGACATCGTTTTGAAAATGCTCTTTTAATTTATTTTTAATAGTTTTAGCAGCTTAATGTCAATTTTCTGTAAATTACCTAAAAGAGGGACTATCTATATAGGGGTATTTATTCAAAATAAGCTGAAAAAATAAATTTTTCTAATCCAATAAATTACAGTGCATTTATTACATGAAAAGAAAAGTTTTCACCAAATTTCGTGACAAAATATTGTCTTTTGTAAGAGATAAAAATAAAAAAACAAAAACTTTTGTTTTCGAATTTTACCCATAAAATTTAAGGCCGTGTGAAAAAAATGTTAGGACGAAAGTTTTAGGTCTTTTTATTACCTACAACTTTGCCATATAACTTTTTTCCGTAGGACTTCGTTTTGTCTGAAATCGAGAAAACCCATTTTTTACCCTTAAATACCCACCCCCATACCCTTCCCGACCTCAGATCGCCCGTAAATTATTTTCCCTTAATTTTTTTTAATATTCACCTCCTTTTCTAATGAGTTTAATTCTACTATAATTTATTTTCACTTTTCATTAATTTTAAAGGCTTCTGCACTGGCCTATACGTGTTTCTGAGGCTAAGGTATAACCTAAATTTATTTATTAAAAAAACGTAACAGATTTTTCTTGATTATAGGGCGATACGAAGTTCGCCGTGTCTTCTAGTAATACTATATAATAAAGTCTCATATGTCTGTCTGTCTGTATACACTCACCGTGTTCCCCGTGTTGTGTGGCGGGCGGTCGGTCCAGGTCGGTGAGTGAGTTCAGTATACTCTTCAGCTCCAACATACGCTCCTCCACACACACCGCCGTCAACCTACAAACATACACACACACACACACACACACACACACATACATACAATATTACACAAGACGACACGCAAGGACTTGGAAAAATATGGTCAGCTGCTTTGTTACAGGGTTAAGACTCTGATTCATATTTGTATATATGTATTTATAGAGTTATAGAGTTAGCTATTCTATACTCCAGCCAAATTCGATGTGGAATGTTTAATAACAAAGCGTTGCTTAGCAACCAACGTCAGGCAGATGCTTAAGACATTTTTAGAAATATTATGTACAACAATTATTTTTGATGTTAATGAAAATTAAAATTGATGATTAATAATAAAATATTTAAGACAAAGAACTAAGCTCATTCTTGGTTATAATTATAATACTTATGATCATCTGGAATAATGTAGATCTCAAAAATAATACCTCCAATTTTAAAATGATATCAGAAATTACCTCGTAGTTATATAATTCGCTTTATTAACTTTATCCATCGCCTCTCAAACGACAGGACTCATTTAGATTAAATATTGTGTATATTTGAATGGCTTAATTAATTGCTTAAAAACACTCCAAATGTTACAAAACTGCGATTTCTTCACGTCAGTATTAAAATATAGGGTTGTTAGTTTTGTAGTAATATTATAGTGGTAATTAAAGATTTTTAAACTTTTATTTTCAGCTAATTTTCGTATAAATTATGTATTGACCGACTAAATAAAATTTTGGGATTCTATATTAAATTAAAATTTTTGTGTTTAAACAGGAAATTGTGTTAGAATAAATATAGTTGTAATTATTATTTTTTATTAAGAGTGTATCAACCCTAATTATGATGACTCGTGGTTTGTTTACTAAAATTCCAGATCGAATGTGGCTGGAGTATAGTTTGAAATGTGGTTTAACCAAACACAATGATGGACCGTCTTACTATCATCATCATCAGTTTATCAGAGGCCACTGCTGAGCAAAGGTCTCCTCACACATGAAGGATGTCATATTAATTATTATTATGTCGTCGTATATATGTATGTATATCTGTACCTCGCCTCAGCGTCATGGTCCCAACACTCGTCGCACGTGGCGGAGGCCAGTCTCAGTGGTCTGAGGAGCGCCCGGGCTCCGCACGACGACGGTGGGGGGAGGGGGGGACGAGCCTTACCGCGAGACACGAGGGCCTGGAATATATATAAGATATAATTAAGGTGTGGATTCATTGTTACTGTAATTGGATTATCGAAACACAAGTCAGAAATTACTGTTAGATAATAATAATAATATATCTTTGCTAAATTAGGTTTAAATTAAAATTATAAATTAAATTAACCATGCAATTATAATTATAGATTCATATTAAGTGTTTTACAGATGAAAATAAATAAATCAATAAAATAACAAAGTCAAATCAAGAGTACTCATACAATTGAAATTATAAATTAAACTTAACTACATAATTAAAATAAATAATACAATTTTATTATATATCCGATGATTTGAGACACAATGATAGATAAATAGATGATTATTTAAGTTATATATTTTGTATTTTATATATTTTTTATTCAGCAATTTCTTACAAAATTATGTCTTATCCATTAGAAAAGCGTTTACTGAGTAATAGCACTAGTTAACTAGAAAAAAAACAAAAGTTTTTAAAATGTTAAATATAAGTTAATTCTTTTATCTCATTCGGTATTTTGTTATATATAGTAGGGGTCATGGCCAATATGTTTCTTTTAAATAATTAGAGAATATGATACATTAATGGTAGATAAAAAGGCAATGCATTCCTTATATCACAATTTTTATATTGTTGCTTTTTGTTTATTGAAATATCAAACGACATGCAGACAATCCAGTAGTAGTAGCAACAGAACGGTAGATGGTACTAGCTCTTCGTTAAAGATATTCATCATGCTCACCTGCATCTGCGCCAGCGTAGGGCGGGCGGGCAGGCCGTGGTGGTGGTAGGGCGGCGCGTAGGGCGGCACGTGAGTCTGCGCGCCCTCACAGCGCCACAACATCTCCCAAAGCACCAGACCCAGTGCGAATACATCCACAGCGCACAGAGCGGCGCGCGCACCGGACAGGTCTAGGGCTCCTTCTAGGGCTTCGGGAGATAAATAGCGGAGCGTGCCGGCCTGAAACAAACAATATAACATACATACAAAGACTTTTCTTATATCCGCGTTTTTTTCCATTATCAAGAGATCAACTAGGGTTGTTAATGGCAACTTAAGAAATCAAATTATCTATGCCTTTAGATGGCATCTCGTTTTGTCATTGTGAAACACATTCTTGTCTGTAAAGTGTAACTTTGGTTGTTAATAATAGCGTGTATTCTGATACCTATAATAAATCATAAAAATACTGTCTGCATAATTTTTTATTTCCTAAATATATAAAAAGGGTGTAGTAGTAACTCACCTCGGTAAGTCGGCAGGTTCTATCAGGCGTGACTGGCAGCGCCTGCGCCAGCCCCAGGTCTGCCAGTCGAGCTCGTCCGTCAACACTCACTAACACGTTCCCGCTGTTCACGTCGCGGTGAACGATACACGGCTTGGATGATGCTGAGGAAACGAATACTATACTTAGTACTTGATATGGGTTTAGGTTTAAAGAAGTTTATTTCCAAAAAGAACAAAGTTCGCTTACAGAGGAAATTTTAAAAACTATAACTACAATTAAGATTACAAATAATAAACAGTAGTGATATTAAACAATATCAGTGAAATCATCTAATATATGGGTTCTTAATCGTTTAAATATATTTAGAGATTTTGAATTGACAACACTTAGAGGCAAAGAGTTATACAGCTGTGATATCGTGACTTCATTAGAGGAAATCTCTCATCTACTAACTGGTGGTATGTAAGTGCGCCAAAGCGCTGGCTAGTCCGTGTGCGAGTGTGGCGAACTCCGTCCAGTCGAGAGGAGCGCGCACGAGACGGTCACGTAACGACTCCGAGCAGAGCTCCAACACGACCAGCTGGGAACGACCGCCCGCCTCTACCAGCGACGAGCGACTGTCACTACCTGGAAACATATAGGACTTATACAGGGTGACTGGTGAATTACTATCGATATTTGAGGACGTGATATTTGACGATCATATATGACAAAATAAAAATTAATATAACATAAATATTAATAAACTTCTAAGTAAAGTTAACCAAAAGTTATGTAATTAATTACGCATCGTATGAACACCCTACAGATTAGGTATACACACACACTCACACATACGCGTGTCGCGACGTAGTGTTGTATCAGCACGCCGCCGCACGCCTCCACACTTGAACACTTGGAACGTGTCAACACTTTATTTATTTATACGGAAATTTTGTCAAAAATTAAGTGCCTATTTTTTTTACATAATTCGAATGAGATTCATGTACCGAGTGTTCTCCTTAAATATTGATAGTAATTCACCAGTCACCCTGTATACCACTTCAACGAAGGTTATCTACGAAAAATAGTAAGATCAAGTCCGCAAAAAAATTGCATTAGTTTTTTTTTGTTTTAAAGCGGCATACTGGCAGACGGTCTACCAGATGGTAAATAATTACCATCGCTCGTGGACATCTGCAATATGTATAAGGGATGTTGTAGATGCGTTGAGGGCCCAGTGTATTTAGGAAGTTTACGAGCTTCAATACATTTTATTCATTATTGGTGACCATGTAGTTAGTAGTGTTGGTACGTTGAGACTCACCATAATATCGCAGAATGTTAGGGTGCGCCAGATGCGGCATGGCGTATATAGCGGCCTCCTTCCTCCAGGCGGCCGGGCTGCAGTATAACTTCACAGCTACAGGCCTCGCGCCTAACACGCCGCGCCACACAGACCCGAACTTACCCTGACCTGGAACAGACAGACACACGAGATAGAAGATTGAAGATCACTACTGTAGTGTATGTATCTATACAATAGATATAATACACTGTCTCACGTACCCCACTGGAGGGGTGGCATGCGCTCGGCAGTGTAATGACTAGCGCGGAGTGGAACGGGGACGTGCGTCGCTCTAGGCGGGGTTGGAGTGAGACAGGGACTAGTTATATTTACATGTAGGACCAGGGATCCTACAATTACCATCATCAGCCTATCAGAGCTTACTTCTAAGCAAAGGCCTCTTCACATGGAGAAGGTTAGAGTATTAATCACCACACTTGATCAAGACGGGTTGGTGATTTCAAACTTACAATTGCAAATTATAAGTCCAGGTTTCTTCACGACGTTTTCCTTCATCAGTCAGTGGTGTCTAAATATTTTTATAAAGTACATATGACTTGAAAATATCACAATGTCACCTGCCAGGTTTCATGGATGGGAGGCGGACCTTTAACCTTTAGGCCATCTCGACTATCATTAAGTATAAGTAAATTTTTAACTTTATCTAAAAACTGTTATTATGAACATTTTGTACTGTAATTATTATTATGTCGTGTTTGTTAGTTACCGATGTGTTCTATGAGCGTGATGTTGTCCACACACAGCAGGCCCGTAGCGAGCCCGTCCGGCCCGGAGCCCATCACCTCTCCTGGACACACACACATTAACATATTAGTAATATAAACTAGAAGATCCGGCGAACTTCGTATCGCCCTATAATCAAGAAATATCTGTTACGTTTTTTTATTTATATTTTTGGAGTTTACCTATTAAAGCCATAAATTTTAGTGTTTTGAAGTGCGACAGAATGATTGACATATTAATTAGTTGTCAAATCTAATGTCAAAAAAACGTTTGTATCAACAACTACTAATAAATTAAAAATTATTTAAAAAAAACATTGTCCAGCGAACAACATTGTGAATCTAAACTATTCCCAGATCCACTTGAACACACACAAAAAATTTCATCAAAATCGGTCCAGTCGTTTGAGAGAAGTTCAGTGACATACACACTCACAGAAGAATTGTATATATATAAAGATACTGTCCAGTTGTTTGTACTGAGGGTTCATCACAACTTGGACAGTATTCAATTCCTATGACACTTCTGTATTTTCAATACATCTAAAATATATTAATATAATTGCAAATATTCACCCTAGATGGTACCATTTTGTGTAACATACTGACTACCCTCAATATCTCCGTATATCGATCTCTCGTGTGTGTGTGTGTGTGTGTCTGTGTGTGTGTGTGTGTGTGTGTGTGTGTGTGTGTGCGTGTCACCTTTCTCCAGGTCCCGTCCGTCGCTCATGTCCGTCTTCCTCAGGCCTGTCCTGCTGCAGTACATCTTCCTGAACACTACAGTCATCAACATGCCGGCCACCAGCGCGAGTATCCCCGCCGCTAGTACACTCGAGTAGTTAGCTCCGCGCGTGCTCTTCATTGTCGATTCAGCCTTGATCGTTACTGACTCCTCCTTCAAGGTCGCTGGAAGGGAGAGGTCAATGAACTGTTAAAATGTATAGTTATAATACGAAGAATATTAGGCAGCATTAACATCTTAAATATGATATGTATGTTTTGATTGTGTTTACATAAATCATTGCTGCGCCATCTCTAGTGGAATGCAGTAGATAACAATATTAACATAGTTCTATAAGTTATTAATTGTTACTATTATTTTTGATTATAAATAAATAAAATCAATTAACATCTCAACTTGTACACACTGGCTGTATCTGGTAGTCGTATTGAATAGAGAGTATAGTACTCTAGTCATTCCAGCTACTCTCTGAAGCTCTTGAGTTATTTAACCATATTTTCCATACTAATGAATGATTTGGATTAATATTTACTTCTTCACAAAGTAATGTATGTAGGGCTAGTACATATGTTGATACTATTTGTATGGCCATTGGAGAAATTCATGGAAGGTAATCTGATTTTTAAATGAAACTAATATTTTTCATTTTGTTACGTAATCATAACCGTAAGATATTAAATTTACGGTATAACAATGATATAAAGTACGGAATGTTGACTCTGAGCCATCGGTTGGAATTCAGAATAGGATTTAACATATATTCAGTCTGGAGTCAATCGCTGACTTAAAGACCCCGCTCTAGTTTTTAGTTAAATTTAAGTCTCAATTGTTAAATTGAATATATTTTATTTATAAGTAAAACGGATTTTTCTTGCATCCTTCGCTGCCACCAAACGTAATTATAAACCTAATTAAATAAACAAACCCAACTGACAGACACTCACATCTCGTCTGCCCGTGATCACGGTTGCTGAAAAGTAACCGAAACGTCGGTGGTATGTAGTTTATATCAAAAATAAAGTCGCGTAGTATATCCAAAAAATATTATTCTTCATTTTAATGAATACTCGCGAAAATCTTAGATCTCATTATGTCATCTAATATGTTGACTTGTCCGATGGGTTTCAGACACTTATAGTTAGTTAGTTACTTATATTTAGTAAATGTTATGTACACTTGTCACATACATATCTGATGTTATAATATAGTCACTTTAACTGTAAATATTCAATATGTATGTTGTAAGTGTAAATAAATACTCACTGATGTCAGCGTTGCACAGACTCCTGGTACAACAGCAGAACCTGGTCCGCGGCAGACGAGCCGTGACGCGGGTACACTTATCACACGCACGACCGCCCTGGGACGAACGCCAACAACCTACACCAGAAACATATTAAATCCCTACTAATATTATACATAAATGCGAAAGTAACTCTGTCTGTCTGTCTGTCTGTTACGCTTTCACGCCGAACCACTGAACTGATTTTAATGAAATTTTGTACAGACAGAGTTGACCTTGAGAAAGAACATAGGATAGTTTTTATCGTAAACTTTTGATAGGTTCTCTTGGAAACTCGATATAACCGAACTCGACGCGGGCGAAGTTGCGGACGGTAAGCTAGTTATATATATTTTTCACTTAAATTTCACCTCACAATTATTTCAAAGAGCTCTTGATCAGTAGAGGAATAGTGTGGGTCATCATACAACATAACTACATACTACAAACATGAAGCTTGGAAATGAAGTGGATTTAAAGACTATTAGACTTACTGGATGAATGTCCACGGCTCTTACTGAAGTATTTAATATGGTATTGGAAATGACTCAAAGTTTTGAATTCAAATATAGTAGTGAATACATTCTGCAGTATACAAAACTATAAGGAGATATCAAGTATTACTGATGTTCTTTCAGTCTCAAATCAGAACTCTAATCATTAGTTTACCATCATTAACTGACCACACTTAATAAAATATTATAAAATTATAAAGTAAAATTTATATCAAACAGTCTAAATTATGGATTATGTATCAAACAATAAAACATCATTATAATCTGATACGTCGTCGTCATCAGCCTATCAGAGCCCACTGCTGAACAAAGGTCTCTTTCTCGCATGGGGAAGGTTTGAGCATTAATCACCAGGCTTGCTCAAGACGGGTTGGTGATTTCAAATTTATAATTAATCTGATACATTATCAGTCAATCAGAATCTCATAAGAATCTAAACATAGAAATATATATCCTACAAAACATTGATATGGAGAATATTAATATTACTCAATGATGTCATCTCCTCCATGTGAGAAGAGGCCTTTGTTCAGTAGTAGGCTCTGATAGGCCTATGATGATGTAAAATCAAAGACAAGCTCGTATTATTTACTGACCCTGTCCTAGTACGGTGATGTTAGCATCATTATCCTGATGCCACAGAGTGTAACAGAATGCTTTAGGGTCCGTGCACTTCTCTACTTGAACATCTTCTCCGCTTGGTAACCTTGTCTCTGTTATTTCACCTCTGTCTGTCAATAACATTGAATTCATGTGAATTTTTAGCATTTAAACATTTTCTTATATAAATGACGGACAATTTAATCAATTTACTAGTTAGATCCAATGAAAACCAAGTATATTATGTAACTAACATGTAAATTAAATTTAACATTACTTAGTAAATATTTTACTAAATTAGAAAAATATGGTTTCATATAAAAAATATGATAGAAATCTGTACCATTCTTAATTATTTAAAAGTTATGTGTACTGTATTTATTTATTACTATACATACCAAATATTTCGTTTTCGACAGTAAACTGAGCGTTTCCATCATGATAAGACGGAGTGACACTTAACGCCACGCTGTGTATTTTGTACAAACAGGATATGGTGGGGCCAGGAGTAGTCGGAGCGTCTGTTACAATCACGGCGGCTTTCACTTTATACTTCCCTGAATCAGTGTTTCTTTGATCGTTTGTTACCGCGGGTTTGTCCATCTGATCTATAACTTCATCTCCGGACACAGAGGCTACTTGGTTTATATCGTCCGATGTATTCAACAGTTCGTTTCCCACTTGCTTCACGCTCCTTTTCACGATAACTTTGGGCTGGTCCTGTGCTAATATCCAGTATGGGTCTTCCAGATTGTTCCATTGACTAGTTCTTCTGTGGTGATACTTAGTGAAAGTTCTCACATAGTGAGAAGATTTCTGCTGATGGATGCTGTTAGTGCCGTCTTGTGAGTCGTGCGGTCTCGACGTCAGGACTTTAGCAGTGAAGATGAACATAAACAGAACTACACACTTAAGTAAAGGAGTGACCCTCTGGGACAACATACCATCCATCATTTTGGTAACTTTATAATATATAACTCTCCGCCTCAATCCTACATCATTGAGAGTTGAGAGGTGAACTGTTCTAGGTCATTAAGTGCAACCTAATTGCAGCTAGGCAACGACATTGCATATTATTGATTTTTATACGCGGAACATAAACTCGGCCAAATAGCTATTACTTCTGATTCTGTATTGATTAACACTTCTAACTTAATATTTTAAAAGTATTATATTATAAATTAAGTTGGATTTAATGACTTTAATAACTAATTACACGCAATTACAAACATTTGTACTGTTTTAATCAAGCTTATGATTTATTTCAACAAGCGGAACGAAATAACCCGCACTAATAAAGTATTTTTAAATATATTTAGTTTGTTTTTTGAATAAATCACATCGCGGGGCAATTTAACATTTCAAAAGCAATTAAAACAAGAATCGATCGAATGTTGACAAACACATTTCATTACTTGCCGACATATTGACTATTGACTTTTCCGTTTCGTCCAATAAATTAAGCTAAAAATATTTTTATATCTATTCGTTGTAATAAATTGTTTACTAGAAAATAAAATTATCAATTTTTTACAGTTTATTAAAAGCACAATAAAATTATTAAATGATATGAGAGGATATAATTTTCAACAACCTTACAATATGTTAAACATGACAGTGACGTTCCCAGTATTATTTCATATATTATGTCAAATTCACAAAAGTCACAAACTCCATGGACGGGTCGACGGTTAGCTTGTCGCTGTCTCAATTGGAAACAATTAATTAATCGATGTCAGATAACTCGTATAAAGGAATTAAAAGATACAAAATTAAAACAACCCACGTGTTTGTAGAGATTAAGTCATAATGTCTTCTATCGGTCCGACAGAAGAAATAGATGAGGTTAAGGAGCGCGCCCATTTTCAAGCAGTGGTGAACGCTTTTAAATATTACAAGTAAGTCGCTTAATAGTCGAAACAATTACGATAATCTGGATAAAAAATAAAAATTGTTAAACGTTTTTCTAATATGATTTTTTTAATTATCTCTCGCGAGTTACGAGTCTTCCATAGCAACAACAAATCATTAAACCAATAGTTTTGGACACAATAAGCTTTGTTTACGTCCATAACGTGTGTGCCAATTTGAGCATAACGACCTTCGAATTAAGGTGTAGTTTACTGTCAAGGGATTTTTTTATCAATCTGTTCCAACTGGGACAAGAGAATTGAGATGGAAATATATTTGGAGTTAATATAGAATAACATTAATTACTCACATTTCATAACAAGCTAATACTTTAGTTAATTCTAATATTAACAAATCTTGTCTAGTATGTTAATATATAATAGAATTATTAACAAAAACAGTATTTTTATAAGCTATTCACATTTTATCATGTCAGGAATTTTTTTTTGTTAATATGATGCAATTCATTTGTCTATAATCATATTGACAGTGATTCAACTGAGCTGTGGTATAGTTTAATTGTGTTCTATAAGTTAAGAGGAAACAAGATGATGAATCGGTTAAAAGGATATGTTGTTCAGAATTCATATCTCATTAGAAATAAAATGTCACTAAATTAATTTTTATATTAAAAAAAAAACCATCAAATTTAATAAGTTTTATAGCTTTTGTCAATGGGCTTTTTAATATAAATAATGTAAATTAATTTCATAAAATTACACAATATTTTTTAACGTCCGAGGCAATTTTTTAAATTTGGTTTTCTGACCATCTATAAATTCTTATAAAGAAGCTTTTATATAGAAATAATGTTAAAATACAGTTGATAAGAAATTAATCACTATATTATACTAGTGTTTTTATTGTAACACACATGTAGTTGTCAATCTTTCTACTATAGTAGTTGTAGTAACAAATATATTCTATTACAGACTATGCAGCCTCGAGAGGATACACAAGTCGGAGAAGATCATCTCAATGTTACCTCCGAGTGATCAGAAACGTTTGGACAAATACCGAACATACCTCACCAAGTTCAAGAGGTGTCTGGATGTTAATAATGATGTAGTACACCTCATCATCAAAGACGTTGACACAATGTTTGAGAATGTAGATCATAGTACTAACGGCAGTCACGGGACCGAGAACTTTGGGTGTAATTATAATAACTGTGAGATAACGTCTCTCAAGCAGCACAAAATGCAGCATGATGTTGAGAAGGTAGGACGGTTTTGGATTATAGTAATTAATTGTAGAAGTAAAAACTTATTATAATTGATACTTCTTACTGCAATGGAAGCTTTTCAGACTTCTAAATAATTTCCAACTTTGACTTCAAAGGAAATGATTTTATTCTATTTTATAAGAAGTTTAAGCATAATGTTTGTTTTTAATATTTACGTAGTCTATCATATTTTCTTTTACGACTATAATTGAACAAATTCTCTGCTAGACTTTTAACTCTTACTTATTTAAGTTTATACATATATTGATCGACAACTAACAAGTCGTCCCAAAAGCTAACTTTTGTATGTGTATTTTATAATACAGCCCACGAAACAAGATAAATTTTATAAATGGTTTCGGTGCTGTTGTATTCAAACGGGGATTTTTTTACGTCTTTCGTATCTTCGACATTAAAAGTAGAATAAGTAAACGCTTATTAATTGTTCTTTTATCAGATGAGAATTTTGTTTTATCTATAAATTATCAAATAATATGCATTTATATATATATCAATACGCAAACAGGTCGCAATACTATGCGTTGATAATATTGTTGATGTAATATAATTGTATTAAAATATGTTTAAGTAATCTTTTAATCGTCTGCTATTTGAAAGTAATTTTTGATACTTTAAAACTGACGCCTTGATTGTTTATTAATATGTATATTTAAAAATATTGATAGTTGGATTGATTTAATATTTTTGGAAATCATAATACTTAATTTCGACTAATATCTACATACATATATGTAACTATTCTTTATAAAATATACACTAACTTACTCACTTGTTGAACTCCAAGACTGAATTATTAAAATTATATAGATATCAATTGTCAATATATAAACGACACGAAAAGACAAGAAATCAAATCATTTAATCTGTTTTTTCTGTTAAATTGATAGTAACTAACAGAAGCTAAATTATGTATACAGAGATTTGAATTCAAACAAGTCGCGACTATATCATAGATCACTTTTAACATGTAGTAATGTTTCCGAATAAATCCTCGGTTAATGAAGGTAGTTTATGATGAACTCCTATTAGTTTGTAGTGAATAACATAATAGTATTATGAGTGTTGTCTGTTTCTTCTCACGAGTGTTGTGTGTGGTAGGTACAGTCAGTGTTGAAGAACATCGTCCGCGACTGGTCGGCCGCGGGGTCCGGGGAGCGCGAACAGTGTTACAAGCCCATCCTGGACGAACTCGAGGCGAGGTACCCTCGAGAGGAACACTGGTCGGTACACATATATACTATGTACATACTTATATACGGACGAATATGTTAACATGTGTGTGTGGGTGTGAGAGTACGTCTGCGTGTGTGTGTACATGTGAGAACGGGTGCGTGTGTGTGTGTGAGTACGTGTGCGTGTGTGTGTGTGTGTGTAAGTCTACGCGCGTGTGTGTGTGTGTGTGTGTGTATATACAGGGTGACTGGTGAATTACTATTGATACTTGAGGACGTGATATTTGACGATCATATATGACAAAATAAAAATTAATATAACATAAATATTAATAAACTTCTAAGTAAAGTTAACCAAAAGTTATGTAATTAATTACGCATCGTATGAACACCCTACAGATTAGGTATACACACACACACACACACGCGTGTGGCGGCGTGGTGTTGTATCAGCACGCCGCCGCACGCGTCCACACTTGGAACACTTGGAACGTGTCCACACTTTATTTATTTATACGGAAATTTGTTCAAAAATTAAGTACCTATTTTTTTTACATAATTCGAATGAGAATCATGTACCGAGGATTCTCCTTAAATATTGATAGTAATTCACCAGTCACCCTGTATAAGTAGATTTGCGTACGTCTGCGTCTCTGTATGTGTGTGTATGTGTATCTATACCAATATTTCTATAGATCATTATACAGTAATCCTATGTTGTATCCTCTGCAGCCGGTCGTCGGTGCGCGTGTTGGTGCCGGGCGCGGGTCTGGGTCGCCTCGCGTGGGAGGTGGCCGGCCGCGGGTTCTCGTGTCAGGGGAACGAGTTCTCACTCTTCATGTTGTTCGCCAGCAACTTTATACTCAATAAGTGTGTTGAAGTGAGTGGTCGTGTCATGTCTCACTTACAGAGAAAGATATCACTTTATTACTTGATGAAATTGACTGAATATATTTTTTGACACATATCTTAAAGTTTGAAAACAGCTTTTATTTTATTGTATATCATCATCAAACGTACTCTTATAGTTGATTCTATGATAAAATAGTTATTGTTCAACGATCAAACAGAAGAACGTATATTAGTAAATAGTTTTATTGTGTTCTAACTGTGTGTGTGTGTCAGGCCAACTCGTACACCGTGTACCCGTGGGTGCACCAGTACGTGAACCACCTCACGTGCGAGCACCAGACGCTGGGCGTGTCGTTCCCGGACGTGCCTCCCGCCGCCCATCATCAGCAACAACAACAACACTTCTCCATCGCCGCCGGGGACTTCCTCAAGGTCAGTCAACAACAGACACGACAGTATTAAACATGTACCTTATAACAACAATTTATAATAGATGTTGGCAAACCAGTTGTGGCCTAGTGGTTAAAGGGCCCGCCTCTCGTTACCGAGGGCGCGGGTTCGGTCCGGGCCCGGGCTAGTGCCAATGTTATTTTTCCGAGTCATATGTACTTTCTAAGAGTATTTAGACATCACTGATTAATGCTGATTCCCGAAAAGAGGGTTAATGTCAGGCAGGCGGCCGGTCGTAAAAATATAGCCAAAACTATTCACAACATGTAAGGCGGATCCTGGCTATAGCTGGGAAATTGCCAGGTAGAAGATAGTATAGTATGGATTTTATATAGTTTCAAATATATCTAGATGTTTCAGTTAGTTTTTATTTATATACTGTTTATTGCACACCAATATAGACAAAAATAATAGGAGTAAAAGAAAGAAAAGAATAATGTACTGGCTGTAATGTACAGGCTGTGTGTATAATATACTACTTTGTGCTATAATACAATACTTTGTGTGTATATATACTTAGTTGGCTCTTGACCATGTCATTCATCATCAGCCTATCAGAGCCTACTTTTAAGCAAAGGCCTTTTCTCACATGGAGAAGGTTTGAGCATTAATCACCACGCTTGCTCAAAGTTGATTGGCGATTTCAAACTTATTGTTCGAAATTGTAAGTCCAGATTTCCTCGCGAAGTTTTCCTTCACCACTGTCGATGGCGCCTCAATACTATTAAAAAGTAAATGACTCGGTAAAAATCACATTATAAGGTTTCGAACCCGCGCCCTCATACACTAGAGGCGGGCCTTTAACCTCTAGGCCACCACGACGTTATACCAAGCCTTAACAAAGTCATTATTTCATCCTGCTAATATTATAATTGCGAAAGTTTGTGAGTGTGTGAGTATGTTTGTTACTTCTTCACGCTCAAACCACTGAACCGGTTTTGATAAAATTTTGTATACAGGAAGCTGACGTCTAGGAATAACACATAGGCTACTTTACATCCCGGAAATCCGCGGGACGCAGCTAGTAGTCACATAATTATTGTGTAAGTGTATGTATATCGTTCCAGGTGTACACGGAGCCGGACGAGTGGCACTGCGTGGCGACCTGCTTCTTCATAGACTGCGCGCCCAACGTGATAGAGTTCATAGAGAGGATATACAACATACTGCGGCCCGGCGGACTGTGGGTCAACCTGGGGCCGCTGCTGTATCATTATAGGTATACATACATCATGAATAACATGACTGGAATAATACAATGTACACGAGCATACTCGATAAACATAGTAATATTAAAGTACACAATAAAATTTCAATGTAATAGGTCGGGGAAAAAGTCTTTTCGCATTATAGTATGTATGGACTTGTAATAAAATCTCTTTGGCTGTAGTATTTGTATCCGGCTGGTTTTGTTATCATTAAAAAGTTAAAATTTCAAAGAACATAATTCCAAATACAAATTAGGCAAATGTGTGATATTCATTTGTTTTTCGTACTGTCAAGATGAGTGGTGGATAATAATCCTCCAATGTACATAGTAGTATTAAAATGTACACACTACACAATCATTTTTCAAAAACTAGTTTAGTATTTAGTTATTTTATATCTCTATGTTCCCGACGACAAATTACTTTCAGTGTGCGAGAACTGATCAGGGCCCGATGAGATGATTATCTGTCAGTTTCCCGGCTTATATCTATCGTCAAATATTTTAATTTACAATTTAGAAAATACGCGTAGTAACCGAAAAACTTAGGTTAATTTAAATGTGTATATAAATATTTTAAGATAGCATTACACTGAATGTACACAATAATACTCCAAAATATATATAGAAAGAGGATGAAAAAGAACATTCCAAGAAGTAATATAACATACATTAAGCAGATGATCTATTTTGTTTCAGCGACATGCCCAATGAGATCAGTATCGAGCCGCCCTACGACATACTCGTGGACATCATTAAAGACGTGGGCTTCGAAATGATGGTGAGTGACCCATGGTAGTAATGGACATTAGATATAGAGGGATCGACTTATATGCATAGACTTTAAATAAATAAATAAAGACTAGAAGACCCGGCGAACATCGTATCGCCCTATAATCAAGAAATATTTGTTACATTTTTTTATTTATATTTTTGGAGTTTACCTATTAAAACAATAAATCTCCGTGTTCTGAATTGCGACAGAATGATTGACATATTAGTTAGTTGTCAAATCTAATGTCAAAAAAAAAAGTTTGTATCAACAACTATATACTTCTCCTTCTTCTACCTGGCAATTTCCCAGCTATAGCCAGGGTCTGCCTTACATGTTGTGAATAGTTTTTGGCCTATTTGTTTTTACGACCGGCCGCCTGCCTGACATCAACCAACTTTTGGGAATCAACATTAATCAGTGATGTCTAAATACTCTTAGAAAGTACATATGACTCGGAAAAATCACATTGGTACTTGCCCGGGCCAGGATCGAACCCGCGCCCTCGGCAACGAGAGGCGGGCTCTTTAACCACTGAGCCACCACTGACTTATCAACAACTATATACTAATAAATTAAAAATTAATTAAAAAAGCATTGTCCAGCAGATAACATTGTGAATCTAAACCATTCCCAGATCCCCTTGAACACAAACAATAAATTTCATCAAAATCGGTCCAGTCGTTTGAGAAAGTTCAGTGACATACACACTCACAGAAGAATTTATAAAAGATAAATTTTCCACTTATATGTACTCACTCAAATATTAGCACATGCCAGTACCATATGCGCATTTGTTCCTACATTCAATGTACCTCATAATGTTGTATTGATTCCGATGTGACTCCCCAGAAGGAGCAGACGTGTGTGAGGACCAGGTACGCTCAGAACCCCAACTCGATGATGCAGCACGAATACAACTCAGTGTTCTTCGTGTGTCGGAAGCCCTTGTGAAGTGTTCATAAAGACTGTGCCTCGTGTTAATATAGTTATTACCAGAACTAGCTTTAAAACATTTTCCACATTCACCAATCATTACAACAGAGCCTCCGTCCACTCAACATTAATATTTGGTGTATTTTTTCGGTATTATATCCAGTATTGTTATAAATTTGATAAAAAAATAGTAATTGGAGAATGTTAGTTGTATTGTGAATACATTAATTAATGTTTGTTTTATATTACATACAACGGAATGTTTGAAACTGTCTTTGTTTAATCTTTGAGATTCAGACAACAGATATATAAAGAGTTAAATACAAATGAAAGTATATATCATTCGGTGAGTGTTTTATTTAAGTATTGTATATAGTATCTTCCTATGTTGTGTGTGGTGTCGTTTGAGTGTGTCATCTTAGCGTATGTCAGGAACTGTCTCCGTAGTCTGAGCAGCTTCTGTTGGTTAATGTTCTGTATGAAGCCAGTCTCCAACACACAGCCGGGGTAGTCAGGAAATTTAACTACATCAAGATTCATCTGCTTTGAGTCCAGGATCTGTTTTGATATCTCTTGAGTCACTCGGTCCATCTCGTACAGGAAATTTGCAGAGCTTAGAGGAGGCTGGAATATTAATAAATAATTAGTTAGTGAGATCTTATATTTTCGCGAGCATTCATTTAAATTAGTCTAATATTTTTCGGATATATTACGCGACTTTATTTTTGTAAAAAACTACATACTTCCAACGTTTCGGTTACTTTACAGCAACCGTGATCATTAAGACGAGATAATATAAGAATTAGTTAGTTTACAAATATTTGTGTTTTATATACAGGGTGACTGGTGAATTACTATCAATATTTAAGGAGCATACTCGGTACATGATTCTCATTCGAATTATATAAAAATAATAGGCACTTAATTTTTGACCAAATTTCCGTATAAATAAATAAAGTGTGTACACATTCCAAGTGTTCCAAGTGTGACGCGTGCGGCGGCGTGCTGATACAACACTACGCCGCCGCCGCGTCTGTGTGAGTGTGTGTGTATACCTAATCTGTAGGGTGTTCACACGATGCGTAATTAATTACATAACTTTTGGTTAACTTTACTTAAAAGTTTATTAATATTTATGTTATATTAATTTTTATTTTGTCATATATGATCGTCAAATATCACGTCCTCAAATATCGATAGTAATTCACCAGTCACCCTGTATATGTTATCCATTAACACGCTTATACTAGCTTGGGCTGTATGTATGTATGTAACGGAATCTTTGATCATGATTTTCACCGGTTTCTTAACGTCTGATTAACTTTGCCTGTCTCAACGACCAATGATAATACAATAATTCATTAACAATTTCCCATTATCCTTGTTAGGGCCGCCAGGATTAATACAGGGTGACTGGTGAATTACTATCAATATTTAAGGAGAATACTCGGTACATGATTCTCATTCGAATTATGTAAAAAAAATAGGCACTTAATTTTTGACAAAATTTCCGTATAAATAAGAAAAGTGTTAACACGTTCCAAATGTTCAAGTGTGGACGTTTGCGGCGGCGTGCTGATACAACACCACGTCACAACACGCGTATGTGTGAGTGTCAGTGTATACCTAATCTGTAGGGTGTTCACACGATGCGTAATTAATTACATAACTTTTGGTTAACTTTACTTAGAAGTTTATTAATATTTATGTTATATTAATTTTTATTTTGTCATATATGATCGTCAAATATCACGTCCTCAAATATCGATAGTAATTCACCAGTCACCCTGTATATTCTTTTCATAGATCCTCTATAAGTGAAAGGGACAGCAAGTGTGCGATCTGCGCATATCCACAAAAAACTAATTGATAATAGACCAGTGCCGATAGCTTTTAAAACATAATTAAATTATAGTAGAATGAAACTCATTAGAAAAGGAGGATAATATTATAAAAATTAAAGGAAAAATAATTTACGGGCGATCTGGGGTCGGGAAGGATATGGGGGTGGGTTTTAAGGATAAAAAATGGGTTTTCTCGATTTCTAGCAAAACTAAAAGTCCTACGGAAAAATGTTATATCGCAAAATTGTAGGTAATAAAAAGATCTAAAACTTTTGTCCTAACATTTTTTTCACATAACCTCAAAATTTATGTGAAAAATTCAAAAAACCAAGATTTTGGTTTTTTATTTCTATCTCTTACAATAAACAATGTTGTGTCACAAATTTTAGTGAAAACTTTTCTTTTCATGTAATAAATGCACTGTTAGAAGATTTGAAAAATTTATTTTTTCAGCTTATTTTGAATAAATACCGAAAAATCAGCCTCATTTTCAATCGAAAAATCACCCGTCACAATATCAGCTATTTTCAAAATTTGGTATGTTTTCAATTTGTTAAGATCTCTGTTTTCCGATGGTGCCGACAAAAATATAAGTTTCTTAGTTACAGTACCATTTTGGATAAAATAATCATGTCTCTTTTAATGAAATGACACTCGACACCGTTTTGGAAATACTCTTCCTAATTTATTTCTAATAGTTGTTTACTCTGGAAGTTCTCCAGATAGTCCCTCTTTTAGGTAATTTACAGAAAAATGACATTAAGCTGCTAAAACTATTAAAAATAAATTGAAAGAGCATTTTCAAAACGATACCGAGTGTATTTAATTAAAAGGGACATTATTTTATCCAAAAATGGTACTGCAAGTAAGAAACTTCTATTTTTTTCTTCACCATCGGAAAATAGAGATTTCAACGAACAGAAAACATACCAAATTTTTGAAAAACGCTGATATTTTGACGGGTGATGTTTCGATTGAAAATGAGGCAGATTTTTCGGTATTTATTCAAAATAAGCTGAAAAAATAAATTTTTCTAATCTTCTAACAGTGCATTTATTACATGAAAAGAAAAGTTTTCGCTAAACTTAGTGACACACTATTGTTTTTTGTAAGAGATAGAAATAAAAAACCAAAAACTTGGTTTTTTGAATTTTTCACATTAATTTTGAGGTTATGTGAAAAAAATATTATAATAAAAAGTTCTAGATCTTTTTATTACCTACAACTTTGCCATATAACATATTTCCGTAGGACTTTTAGTTTTGCCGGAAATCGAGAAATCCCATTTTTTACCCTTAAATACCCACCCCCATACCCTTCCCGACCTCAGATCGCTCGTAAATTATTTTTCCTTTAATTTTTATAATATTTCCCTCCTTTTCTAGTGAGTTTCATTCTACTATAATATATTTTCACTTTTCATTACTTTTAAAGGCTTCTGCACTGGCCTATAAATCGTACTAAAAAATATAAAATACTTATTAATTACAAGCATGTTTTTTTAGTTTTTCTAAACTAATATTTATTTTTAATATTATAACAATATGATTTTCAATTTTGACAAATAATGTTAATGGTATGTGGTTAACGTTTTTGTTAGATTACAACAACAGATCTGATAAATAATGTTTAAGTGTCTCTTCAAAATTTATAAGTAACATCTCTTTTAGTTTTCTCTGTTTATCTGTTTGTTCTGAACAATCTATAGACCTACTGGATCAATATTGAAGGGCAGTTCCTTGCAAGTAGATTGAATTATAAAGGAGTAACATGTTTATTACTCTACAACTTTTTTAAGTAAAGGACTCTAAAATATATGTTTAATTCAAACGGTTATTTCTTGGGGTAGTCTAAGTCAGTCTCAGATAGAGGGGCTTTAAGAAACCAAATGTAACCTCTGTAGGGTCAACATGGTATACAGACAGAGTTAAGCAATAGTATGTCTTATTATATAATTCTATAGATAATAGTAAATGTTTGTGAGGATGTTTGATTTCAAGTATAAAAAACTCCCAAGGTTTTTATGAAACCCTCCAGTAAATATTTGTCATTATCTCTCTAAGGCATAAGGTATAGCCATCATACTATATATGAAATCACACACACTGTAGATGTTGCCGACAGTTGATTAACATATCTATTATTTCAATATTCTGTACATTTCTGTCCAAGTCCAAATCTTGAGTAATCAAGGACATAGTAGTAGTAAAAAACTAATGTAATTAGTGCTAGGAGATTCATAATCTGAAAATACTTACATTCTGTGTGCTCATGTTTGGCGGAGGAGGTTTCTTCTCAAACAACACTGAATACACTTCATCAAAATTCAATTGATCAGAAAGTTGTACTGTGAAGAGCGGACTGTCCCATCTGTTGTTGGAGTTTGGTTCTTCAAACCTGTTTTATATAAATAATTTTATTTATTTAAAAACTAAAACCTAAGGTTTTTGTAAAAAACTACATACTCCCACATTTTAGCTAATTTCAGCAACCATGATCATGGGCACATCTTGTCTGCTATATGGACTATGTAGTTTTTAACAGAAATAAAGCATGCATAGTATATCGGAAAAATATTGTTCTCATTTAAAAGAATAAAACTCACAAAAGTCTTAGATCTCATTATTATTTATAGTATGTGACTAGATTGTTAAATAATAAGATATGTAGAGAGAGAACCATATGGTGATATCAACTCTCATATATCAACACTTATAATATCATATGCAAAGATTAATGAATCAAAAACAAGAAACTGTCTGTATGAAGTTTGATGATATAACTTATAATAAGGAAACATAGATTATGATATAATACATATATTACTGAAACTGAAGAAGTTCCTTTAAATAGTAGCAGAAGGTCTTAAAACAATTTTTCACCTTAGCTTAGTGATTGCATTAAATACTTCCTCCGTGTAAGCTTCTGATGTATGGTCACCCTCCTTATTCTCTGTATTTTGATTCATTCTTAATAAGTTGCTCTCCCATGCCTCTTGATGGTTGCGGATGGTGTATATCGTACACTGAGTAGACTTTGAAGCCTTCGATGCACAGTATAATTCATATCTAAACCCTGAAATAGACAATGATTTTTAAAACTATTGTAGCTTGAAACATTTTAAATAAATATTTAATTTGGTTTAATTCGACGTTACATATATGAAACATAAAAGACGTACCTTTTATATAGTTACTTCCATCTAAAATAACAACTCCGTCTTTACCGATAAGTCGTATAACTTCTGATTTAAGATATCCTCTGACTCTCTTCTCTTTTTGTGAGTCTAAATACATTGAATTTCTCTCATAACCCAGTTTCTTGATAGCTTCATCTTCTGATACGATTTCAACTTGTTTTTTGTGTTTGTTCTCAAAAAACTCTTTCAATTGTTTCGCCCTAATTGTCTTACCACTGACGGGGGTGCCGCATATTATTATAAGAGGCATATTTGGTCTTTTTCACTTAAATAATAATGTTTAAATATTTTGATAATACATACATTTTTAATTCGTTCGTAATACAATGTGCACAGCAGAAAATTGTTTCTTTTGTCAAAAATGACTTTGACAACGAGCTGATTGACACTTAGACACGTACAACTTATTTTATACACATTACACCAAATCATTTAAATTTTAAGATAAATCATTAAATAACTTAATTAAATTGTGTAATTCAGAATATATGCGTAATTTAATACAATAATATTTAATGTTTTTAAAATTTCAAGTATTGGTAGCGAATTCAGGACAAATTAGTCAAGGAATCTAAAATTTTTCTAGGAATAATATCTAGGAAGCCTTTTTACTATGTATTTAATATACCTAAGAATTAGCTTATGTATATTAAAAAAAACTATCTAGTATCTGTTAATAAAATCGTTGACTGGTGTTTAATAGTTTTTGATTAACTCAAAGAGTCAAAAGCAAATTGTGCAAGATATAAAACTCAGAAGTTTTTTACCAACCTTAGTATTTACCGTTCGATAATATATTAAATTCCCTGAGAGCCTCCCTCCTCTCCTACATCCTACATCCTCTCAAATAACGTGACGAACTTGGCGCCTACGATGCAGGATTAACAAATAATTTGATACAAATTCGGAGAGGCTAATCTGATAGTGTGATAAGGTCAAAGTCCTCAAGTTTATAATATATAGGAAGTTATAATGAAACCTACTTCACACTTTTTACTTAAAATATTATTTTAATGGTATTTTTCTGTGACAAATATTATGTTTGTATATTAAATAAGTTAATAATTAAAACAAAATTGTTATATCGTCATTCCTCCAATTTTTCAAAAATATTAATTATACGTACCTATTTGGCTTAATATGCCATTTTTTTTATTATTCCGAAAGATAAACACATTGTCCTTCATTTTTAATTTATATTATTTTAAGAACACATTTACTTGTTATATATATTTAACGAGAACTCAATGATGAAGTCAAAATAAAAAAATGAAATTGAAAAGTAAGAATAGTGTCGGATCTGATAATAAAATTAAATTTCAATGAATCGTTATACTGCAGGCGGTGTTGTCTTTTCATGACAGAATTTTCTGACTTTTAGAAAAGTTTTCATTCCTTAAAGTTTGGTTAGATGATATTTTATATTAGACTACTACTTACATCTGTCTTTAAAAAAAATATTGGTTGTTTGTAAAGTAGGTTTACGATCGATATGTTTACGTGATAACGTCTTATTGGTGATATAAGTTTTTGGGAGGTAAGGAATTAATGAAGAAAAAAATTTTTTCTAATTTTAAATTACATCTATCGTTTTATTCACAATTTCACTGTTAAACATTCAACGAAAACTTAACCGCACGAGAAAATCTCCATTCGTTTTCATGCAGCTAGAGTGAGAGAGACGGAAGATCGGTCCACTCACTCGAACGCTATGCCTGCCTCCGCTCGTGAGGTTTTGGTGTGACACAAGTTTCTGAACATGTCACCCGACTAAAACGATTTTAAAGACGTTATCACGTCAAAAATATTTTCTTTCTATCTCTTCTTTCTTTATTAGTTGTCTTCTGCTTCATGTTGGATAGAAAAATACTGAAATTTGTTTTGAACCACTCGTTTTATTTACAGCTACCAAATCTATACACAACACAAATGAAACTGTGCAGGTTTAAAATAATACAATCCGCACTGTAATATTTGTTTCATTTAAATGAATACTCGCGAAAGTCTTACACACAACCTAAGTACCTACTTTAATTTTCAACCTTACTCTACATAAGTAAAGAGGTATTGTCGTTTTTATTCACAAATCTTTTTTATAGTATTAACTTAGTTTATTGTACTGGAAACGTGAAACGCATAGTACGTAGTGTGACGATGAAGACTGGTAGTAAGCATACAGATTATACTCGTAGAAAACGTTTCAGTGAATATTATATGAAAACGAATTCCTCGTGTCTGTAGTGTGACTTGGATTTGTAATATTAAATATTTTTATGGTAACAATTTCCAGATATCTGTAAGTAATATCAATAAATGTATATATTTACATATGTATAAAATAGGGGTTGGTGATTAAAAAAGTAAAAATTTTGGGTTGTATGTATTTTTTAATGCTACATTATAATAAAATTAAAAAAAAGAAGGGTGAACAACCCTTACCACGTCCGATTCTCAGAGCTACTCAATATGCTCACAAAATTTCATTAAAATCAGTCCAGCCGTTTCAGAGGAGTTCTCTGTCTGACACCGCGACACGAGAAATATATAATATAAGATAAAAGTTTTTACACGAGTTAGTTATCAAGTCTTTTAATTAATTATTTCTGTCTCAGTCTCCGTTTGTAACATTTAATACAGTAAATCAGTTAGTGTCGAGCTAGTATTGGCATCAGCAGTCAGCTAGTGAAAATATATTGTGTTAAGACGCAGTGGATTTATTTTTGTTTAAAGAAAATACATCCATTTAAATACACAGTGGAAACTTTTCTCGTACCTGTAACAATAAAAAGAAGGAGGCATTATTTATTAAATTGTATATTTTTACATTTTTATTAAGCTAGGGAAGAATGTTCATAATTTTTTCATAGTTTTAATCAAATCTCTTGACTGGACGGTTCGTAACGACTTATTAAAAAGTTGATGGGCATGGGAATACACAGCGGGGAAAATTATACATGTTTTATAGAAGTTATGTAATTTTGGTGGGAAATAGTTTGTAAATTTTTTATTTATTTAACTCCACGGCTAAAATATAAAGATGGAGTTTTACATATTACTTTTCCGTGGACTTCTTCCACTCCTGAATCAAGTCATCAAGATTCTATCGATTTAACAAGAGACACACAGAACTGCCTCTCATTTATAATGTTAATACATGTGTGTAATGTATGTTTGTTTGTCTATGCATCATGAAATTTTTTATTCTATTTTCTTTGATTCTTATATCTTCTTAATATATTCTGATCTGTCTATGGCCACAACTTGGGAAGGAGCGGGAGGTAGTCCATGGAGTCGAGTCGTTTGTGTGTCTGTGTGTGTATGTGGGTGTGTGTGTGTGTGCGTGCGTACGTGATTAAGTATTTTTTTTCACATATTATGTGTTCGTCAATAAATTGTAAGTACGCATTCATGATCATTAAATTAATTTTGAATTCATTACATAGACACATTGTTGATTAATCTATATTATTAATACAGCCACGTAAATAAAAGAATAAAATATACAAATAATACCTTTATATAAACTGGAACGTTTATTCTAGAGAGATTAGTAAAATGTAAGGTAATACCAGAGATTGTTCTGGAACAAGTTGAGCGAGACGAAGAACAATTAGAAGAAACAATACGAAACAAATGAAAAGATACAAACACAAATATTAGAAGAAATTAAGATGAACTACTGTTGGACGGCCGGGAGATTTGAGAGGCTTAGACCGAGCAGGACCATACACCACTGAGAGATAAAGTATAGCTGGGTATAGCTTCACACAATATATATTACGAATAATAAATATTATATTGAAGCGTAAGAAAAATAAAATAAGGTAATGTCTATAATTTGGTTTCGTGTAGCTTTGCCTTTAAATTGTTTTTAGATTAATGTGAGCCAGTAAAAACAAAAATTTGAATGTAAATGACGTAAATATTTATAAAATCTACTAAATATGTTAACAGAATTCTTGAAAGCTAATAAAACAGTCTATGAATCTATGTGTTATATATTATAGTATCTATCGTGGAGCGGTGTGCTCAATCCTATCCTCCTGTAATAAAAGCCTGGTCCTGCCAATCTGGAAGTCAGTCGTCCTCAGCACACCCCGAGGAGACGAGCGATACACACACTGACAGGTAACACACATACACACACACACACATATATATATAAACGATTTGTTTTTAAGTACTTGCATAAATTTCTTTGTATTGTGTTAGTAAGGTAAAATATTAAGTTTTAAGTGACAAATAATATTTTCTTGTGGTTTATTTAATACGCTTTTTGCTAATAGTTATAGTTTTAATTTTTATGCATTCTACTTTGTATGTGTTTGAATAATATTCCCGCACCTGCTTTGTACTGAGAATAATATGTATTAAAATGTTTTCTTATTAATTCTTTTACTGTACAGTTTTATTCACTGTAGTTATATAATACAATCTGTATTATTTAGTTTTACTCATTCATTTTTGCATATTTCCTATTTCCTACATATATTGCATATTTCCTACAAGTTTTAATAACCTATGTAAATATTATAATATTCTACAGTTTTTGATTGTAAAACTATTAACGCGCCGTGTGTAGTGTGACGATCTAAACTTGTAGTAAGGTTATTGACTACAGTTTAAGAAGAATAAAGCTTGCATCATCCACCATTAATACTCATTTGTAGTGTACGGGACAAGAGACGAACAGAAAAACAGTATATAAACACTTTTCTATTGATTGTGTTCATCTTAAGTCTATTTTTAAAATGTTTAATCAATGTGGGATCTAATTTTGACTTCATGTTTCCTGTTATCTTAAAAATAACTAGAAATATCTGAAAATATTTGTTATATGACAAAATGATTTATAATATTATAAAGTTTATAATGTAGAGAGTTGTTCATAGATAGTATTATGTATCAATCGTGTGTTCATTGTGAAGGCTTCGTGTTATCAGTTGTCGAGATTTCGATGAGTTTTTTATTAAAACGCCACTTCTGTTATCAGGACATCACATTACTTTCCTAATTCAATGATAAAGCTTATCACATATTGATTTTGGAATATTTTGTGAATTATAAATATATATACATTCATGACTACATGACTACTAGTATTTTATTACACGTTTAATGCCGGCCACACACGCTACGGTCTACCGGAGAGGTATACTGTGCAGGTATACCTGTGCAGGTCATCCGAACAATGGTAGTTGTTCAAAAAACTGCACAGGTATATTCTAACACACATTATCTCACTCTCTTTCTCTCTCTCTCTCTCTCACTCTCACTCTCCAGTAGACCGTAGCGTGTATCACCAGCATAAGACATGAAAGTTGAAGGGTTTATTGGTTACATTAAGATTTATTTCTATTATTTGTGTTAATACTTTAGCTTTAATAAGCTACTTCTATGTAACTATATAAAAATATGTTGTTTACATTTTCAGCTATGTACTTTAGTTTTATGTGTTATATGTGTTCTAATTCCTGTAACTAATATTAATTGTCAATGTTAACATAAACATATCTTGTCTATTGCTATATATACGATCTGTCTCTTCTTCTTCATTGTTCACAAACTGTATTCATCTTTAAAACTTACTTTGTTGAATTCTAATTATATTTTTTGCTTACAAGCTTGTGAATTATTTCCAAAGTGTTCACCCCTCCGCTTCACTTGCATCAACTTGTAAATTGTAACTACTTTACTGATGAGATATATCACACGACATAAATTGATATGTTTCCAGATATCATGATCACTTTATACTTGAGGAAGACAGACGTTAGATTTATCCTGATTCTGTTCCTTGCATTCAAATACCACTCGTGCGAAGACGTTATAAATAGATTGTTTGAAGAAATTAATGAAGCAACGTTGAAGTTTAATAGACTCGGTGCGGACATAGCGTGGCAGTATTCAGTAGATCCTAACGATGCTGGGCTGTCACGAAGATCAGCGGATTATCAGCTGGAAAGAATAGTATGGCAGCAGAGATCGTGTGACGTAGTTGAGGGTTTGCATGAACGAGGGGCACTTAATGTAACACAACAAAGACAGGCCCATCTTCTGTGTAGAGGACCCAAATTTACATATAAGGAAGCGAGGTATTGATAAAAATGTGGTTCCACTACTTACGAATTATAATTCCTTACCAAAAACATTTATCAGGGCTTCTTTTTGTTTCCAGAGCGATGAGCAATTTATATGATGAACTACTGACTATATATTCTAATGCAGCGGTGTGTGTTCCAAATATAAGCAATATAGCTGATGGATTGTCTCATGAAGATACCATTAAACATTATTTATTGAACTTAAACCGATTTAATAAAATTGAAGGAATAAATTTTTCCCTAAAAACTCACAAAAATTCATCTAAGAGGGAAGAATTCACTTGTATTAAAGGCGAAGAAGAATTTGATAAATTAATGAAAACGTCAAAAGACCCAGCAGTGTTGAAGTTTGTTTGGACAACCTGGAGAGAGGATATGAGGTCCATGCGGGCACCGTACAAGAAACTGGTGGATGTACAAAACAAAGCTGCCCGGAGAAACGGTTGGTCAGGAATTATACAACTTATTCTTAGTTCTTTTCAAATTTGGTTAGGTAGAGAGAGGAGCTTGGATGGTGGAGGTGAGCGTTTAACTCGCGTTACAATGGGGGCCCCTTAAACCTATACCTGGGTCGCAATTCCCACTCACTGTTGAAGCTCCTCTCCCTACAACGATAGACCCGATACCCGCATGGTGAATATATTGAATAATGAGAGTTTTCGTCTGTAATATTTTAACTAATTAACTATGATAATCAGCGGAGGATTAGGTAATGAAGTTTCTGTTTAATTTCTTTCATCAGGATATACAAATATTGGTGAATCTTGGAGGGACGAGCTGGAGGTTGATGATCTTCGTATATTTTGTCGCCGTCTATATCAGAGTGTCAAACCTTTGTACGAGCTGTTGCACGGAGTCGTCAGGTTCTACCTTCGACAGCGGTACGGAGATGAGGTGTCTCAGAGAGGACCGATACCCGCACACTTGTTAGGTAAATATAAATAAAATTTAATAGATTTTTACATACTACAATATTGTATATCAATGCCTAAGAAAATGTCATTTAATTTGATTGATTACATACAAAAGTATAGTGTTATTTAAATCATTTATCTTTAAATTTATCAAAATAGTGTTCATATTGTTTGCTAATGCAGTGCTAAGATCCTGTTAATTGATTTGTTGAAGGTAGAATTTTTCTCAAGAAGAACTGGTTTTTTCTTTTCGCCTTGTAGCTAAATATTAATTGACATAAATGAATCTCTTTGTTTATTATTTGTTAGGAAGCTTGTGGTCGTACAACTGGGAGCCGCTAGCAGAACTCATCATCCCCAAAACTATAGACTTGGATGACCGCATCAAGAAATTAAATTGGACAGTCATAGATATGGTGAGGAGAGAGGGATTGCTGATATTTGATTTAATTTTTATTAGCTTTAGATCATATATTTCAAATATTAAAAAAATACATACTAATATTAATACAAATAAAAACAAATTTTGAAATATTAATACTAACGAAATAGACTATCATGGAATTGTTTTTTGCTAAGTAAATACTTTTATAAGCTATAAAGGAAAACTTCAATAAAGTTTATAAATTTGTGTTAATAAAATCTTTATAAGTCATCAATCTATCGTCCTAAACTTCTTAAACATAACATAGATAGATTAACCCGTAATATCTGCTTAAAACAGGTGAAACGAGCGGAGGACTTCTACATGTCCCTCGGTCTCCCGCCCATGACGCAGAGCTTCTGGAACAAGTCTGTGATGACTCGTGCCAATGATGACGAGCGGTGTCACGGAACAGCCGCTGATATGTATAGAGATGAAGACTTCAGGTCAGTTACAGTAATACCCCTCTTAACGCGACCCCGTTATACGCGGTTTCACTATAACGCGATTTTCAAAAATTTATTCAGATTTGGACATATTGCAGAGTATAGATAACAATGATGACCGCGCCTTGACCGTGTGTCAAACAATTAAAAACAGTGTTGGGTGTTATGAACTTATTTTACAAGAACGTAAGCAACGCTACCCAAAAGACAATACATGTATTTTTTTGGTAAAAATTAGGAGCACCTATGTATTGTATAGTGTTCTTAGAATTAAAGTGACTGATTAAAATGATTTTTATATTTGTGTATTAAATGTTGACTGTGTTTAATCATAAACCTCGATATACGCGAATTTCAGTTAACGCGATTTTCTTCGGAACGTATCCCTCGCGTAATGCGGGGTATTACTGTAGTGTTGATATGGAAATCATGAGTATCTGTAGCAAACAGATCTACAGAAAGTATAAAATATAGTGAAAACGGACGGACTTTAAATTACTAGGCTGTTCGAATACATTCCATTGGTTGAATAGGTGTTAGAATTACTTTGAAGATAAAGTGTTTTTAAGTGATTCTCATTACGGACCAGATCTAAATAAAAATATTTCCTAAAGTCTACTTTTAGATCCAACGTTAGTTATCCAGTGATCCAACCTTAACTATTAAAATCATAATCCTAAAGTCTTTTTGTAAATCTGTATTTACAACTTTCACTCTCGTCTTTTCGTTCTTCTGTCGTGATCACTCACATTTATCCTTAAAGTCCTTTTTGTGAGGTGACTTTCATCGTCGGAATAACATGACTATACCAAGATTTCTTCCCACTTTTATATTTTGTCCTTCCAATGATGCTATAACTTACCCTGAGTCTGTTTCCACAGACTCCTGTATTGTTCTGGAACGAGTTTCGAAGACTTCTCGGTGCTGCATCACGAGCTGGGCCACATCCAGTACTTCATGGCGTACCAACATCTACCTGGCCTCTTTAGGGTGAGTTGAACAATATTACAAAACAATATACATAACTTCCGAAAGACCTTTGAATATTTTAAATTTTAAAAAAATTAAAACATAGTTTTTAATATTGTGGTCTATATTTGGGCTGTGTTTTTAATTATTGTAATATTTTTAATTTTGTTGTAACTTACTTAGTATTACTACATATATTTTTAATCTATTCAATTTCATACAAAAGTCCTATAGATTGATTCCATTTGCAGTCCAATATGTTCTTTTATAAGATATCTATATCCATGTTTTTGTGTAAAATGTCGTGAAAATGATAATAACAAAACGTTGTTTTTTATCGTAATATTATAATTGTTACAGCAAGCGAATACAGCGCTGCATGAAAGCGTCGGTGATGCTGTAATGTATGGAGTAAGAACTCCTCAACATCTGCACAGAGTACGGCTACTTAATGACACAGAGCTGTTCAATGTTAACAATAATGATAAAATAAACAGAAATGTTCTGAAAACAACAATAAGAATGGTCAATATAAGTCAAATATATAAAAATAAATTATCAACACACATAGATGACAGAGTTCTCGAAGATATAAGTACTGACGATATTCTTATTTTGAAGCAGGCCTTGAATAAACTACCCCAGATACCATTTTCGCTGCTAATAGATGAGTACAGGTGGAGGTATTTTGAGGGTAGTTTGGATGAAGATTCTCTAAACCGTCACTTCTGGGACATGGTTCGTGAATTCCAAGGTGTTGTTCCTCCAGACCGAAGAGGAGAGGAGTACTTTGATGCTGGCGCTGTGTTTCACGTAGCTGATAATACACCGTATATCAGGTGAGAGTAGATATATATTTTATTTATTTATTTATTTCTATTATCAAGTAACAATGACTCATTTAAAAAATAAGACATAGATTGTTAATAAAAAAATAATACATACATTCTTAAAATATAATAATTAATTAATTAATTTGTTAATTATCTGATCGGCTGAGCCCCACATACGCATTATAAATAGCCCCACATATATGTTTAGGATGTTTTTCGATATATAAAGGACAAAAACAAGAAAAAAACATTAACCTGGATTAATAACAAAACATTACCAGCTAGCTTTCTTATAGCTCAAGACTAAGTCTAACAATTTCCAAATTCAATATTTTAAATAATCAAGTAACCTTACATAAGGTGAGACTCGAACTATGTTTATGATGTTTTTCAATATATAAAGAAAAAAAACAAGAAATAAAGCTAATCTTTAATCTACTCAAAATATTACCAGATAAGTTTTTTTGGCCTAAAACTAATTAGCCTAGTAATTTTCAATAGCAATACTATATGTAACGTTCTTCCTGTTCAGATACTTCCTGAGTTCGTTTCTTCAGCATCAACTCTTTGAGTCTTTGTGTCGCGCGTCTGTGAGAGGTCGCAGACCGAGGTGGATGCCGGCCAAGTGGGACCTGCTACGGTGTGATATATACGGCTCTAAAGTCGCCGGGAAAATATTGAAGTAAGACAATAACTGGCTTTTGGTAAACAATAAGCATTTTAACCGAATAGTATCTTAATGTTATTGTATTTTCTTTATAGGGATTTAATGTCTCGAGGATCGTCACAATCCTGGCGTCAGATATTGAAAGAAACTATCGGAGAAAGTAACATATCAGCAACATCACTGAACACCTACTACAGGCCGCTCTATAAGCTATTGACGAGATTGGTTAAAAAATACAGCATTCCTATTGGCTGGTAGAAACTACCTGGCTCATCGATGTTCTAATGAATGCGACAAATAATACATTGGAATAAAACAATACGTTAAATTAATAAATATATTTAATTAACTTAATCTCATTAAATAGTGCATTTGTTTCAAGAACCTTTGACATATGCTATAAAATTACAACACTTAATTAAAAAAAATATTATAAAAAAATATGGATCGTAATAATTTATTAAAGCGTTATAGATAAATTATAATTATTTACAATATAACTAGATCTATGGTAATGATGTTATCAATTAACTATTATCTACATCCGTGTGTTGTATTTACATAGATGACATACGAGTGTCGTCGGTTGGGCGTTAACTTTTATTATCACATTTTGATTCATTCACAGAACACAAGTTACGTCGGTACAGAAACGGACAGACTGTCAGTTTGACCGACTGATAGGCTGTTCTGAATTAATATTATATTAATGAACGCAAAGGAACAAACGCATTTAATAACCTTTATAAAAGGATATGCACTATCGACTTTATAAAGTTCCTTCGCGACATAATGAATACACAAAAATTATCTCAGCTGATTCAAAGTAAACTTTATACGGTTCAAACTTGACAGCTATGGTTTATCGAGTCCTTATTCTATGGACTATCGGTCTACTCTGGTGGAGACGGTCTACTGAGCATAGCCTAATAGTTCAGGCTACGTGAGTGTGGTAGCGTGTGAGATCCAGTCCACCGTGTGCGCTACTCGGTGGTAGATGCCCGGTTGACCACGTGAGGCGCACGAATATCCAGCGGAGACCACTCCTACCAGCGTCCATCGACCACCTCTCTCCAACATGAGTGGTCCGCCGCTGTCTCCTTGACAACTGTCCTTACCACCTCCTCTGTAACCCGCACACAGCATCTCGGGATATATCACCACGTTGATACCTGCAACAACATGTTATTGGATTAGTAGAAATCAATGTTAGTAGGATAGTTAATTTCATCACTTGGTCTGTGGGAAGAAATGAAAGTTAAATTATCATCGATCAAAGTCAACAATGTGATAGTGAGTTTTCTTGCATTCTCATTCATTTGAAAGATTCTTACAGATATTTTAATAATCTCAGGCTTAAATGAAGCTAACATATTATGTCTCACATCTCGTCTGTCCGTGATCACGGTTGCTGCAAATTAACCGAAACGTCGGGAGTATGTAGTTAAAATAATAAAATACGTGTAGTAACAAGTAAGTGGTGGCCTAGTAGTTAAGGGGCTCGTCTCTCGTTGCCGAGGGCGCGGGTTCAAACCTGGCAAGTACCAATGTGATTTTTCGGAGTCATATGTACTTTCTGAGAGTATTTAGACATCACTGAAGGAAAACATCGTGAGGAAACCTGGACTTATAGTTTCACAATTATAAGTTTGAAATCACCAACCCGTCTTGAGCAAACGTGGTGATTAATGCTTAAACCTTTTCCATGTGAGAAAGAGGCCTTTGCTGAGCAATGAGCGTCTGATAGGCTGATGATGATGATGATTTGTAGTAATCAGAATAATATTAGTTTCATTCAAATGAATACTCGCGAAAGTATTAGATTTTAATAATTTCGAGCTTGTTTTTTTCTTCGTTAATTAAAATACTATAGATTATACTGGTTCGAAATCTGACAAGCACCAATGTGATTTAGACATCACTGACATATGAAGGAAACCATCGTGAGAAATCTGGACTTATAAGTTTGAAATTGCTAGGCCGTCTTGAGCAAGCATGGTGATTATTGTTAAAACCTTCTCCATGTGAGAAGAGGCAGCTCAGCAGTGGGCTCTGATAGGCTAATGATGATGATGATACTGACCATTAGCTCGATGCCATCGTTCACACACTCTGTTGTCTATGACGGGCACGTCGACGGCCTGGAGGGTCCGAGGGCGGAGTCTCGAGCCAGGACTCAGGGCTCCCCAGCCCGCCGCCCAGCCGTACTGACCGAGGAAGTCCGACCCTCGCTCAGGAAGACAGATAGGAGCTGATGATGTGACGATAGAAGTGTTATATATAGAAATGATTCAATATCTCTATTTAAATAGACCCTTCATATATTATACATTTTAAAATAAGTAAAATAGAACAGGATTTTCTTAATCGGTTTTTGGGTAGGAAACCCATATGACATAGACGAAAAAGAATTTTTTGAGCATTAAACCAAGTTTCTACTAAATATTAGATTACTACATATTAGATTCAGTATGTGTTTTTATGAAACCAATATAACATTAATACTTACCTATATGCGGCATGTATTGTACGTTTCTGTCCAGAGTGAGGACGGCCACGTCGAAACGATCAGCTTGAGGTGTGAACTTGAAGAGAGGGTGGACCTGAAGTGAAATAATACATGCCATGAAATAATGTACAAGTAGACTTTATATGAAGAATCATTTTAATGTCTGTGAGTTGAGAGTAGTCTTTAAAAAGGCTTGAATGATCTTTAGGATGTTTTATTAACAGGTAGTTGTCTTAATAAGTAGTAATGTATATTTTTAGTTTCTTATCCAATTTAAAGAATATAATGTCGCGTAAAATATAAAATTGAGATCATTCACTAGACATCTTCATCATCAGCCTATCACAGTCCACTGCTGAGCATAGGCCTCTCCTTACATGGAGAAGGTATGAGCATCATGAGCATTTATTTAGCGGGTAAAAGCTCCTAATTATCGGTAATAAAATGTCCCATAAAATGTAAAACAGTACCTTTATAGATCTAACTCCGAAGGTATAAGCTGGGAAGGGTTCAGCCGCGGAGTTGATGACGTAGTCTCCGAGAGTGACACGAACATGTCGAGGCTGAGCCCTCGCTACACAGTGACCAGCCGTGACCACGTGACGACGAGATATAAGGGACCCTCCACACCTGGAAACAACAATATACATACATGAGGGTAGATTCGAATCAGTCTGAAGCACTCTTACAAGCCTGTCAAAAGAATAAGTTGAAAATTTTCTGTACTTAGATTGTTTTACATTTCTTTTCTTCCGAAGTTAGTAATAATAATTGTATCATGCAAGTATATTATAATCTTCTAGTTTCATCTTTAATATAAAGTATATAATGTGGTTCTCAATAACTGTACATTATGAAACTTAAACTATCTTTTGTAACAGTATCCAGTAATAGAACAATTAATTTAACAACACGACCGTACGTTTCTTAAGTCCATATATTTTGCGTCATCAGTACATTTTGAAACAAACCAATTGACTTAACTCCGACACTAATTTTATTGTTCGTAATAAAATAATGTTTACGAAATATCACTGTGGTTAAAAATATTATACATTTCAAGAAAAGCATGCATTTCATTTAAGAACCCATTTATACATTTTTTTATATGTATATACATATGTACAGTAAAACTATTGTTTGTATACATATTATAAGAACTTACTGCAATAAATAATTATCTTGTCTCAATGCAGGTTAAATATATTTTATTAGATATGTCTGTAACATTCTTCATAAATAATCTAACTTGCAATCTATTTTCTTATCGTCAGGACGAGAATTTAAAACATATGTTTAAAACCATCTATGTTTATTTATTTTTAATACATAAAGCACCAATATAATGACAAGTTACAAAAATTAACAGTTTACGATATTCTCATTAAATTTTATTAAAATTAAGATGAGATTATTTTAGAATCATATTATAGCAATGCGTTTTGTAATGAAAATTTTCTTTATGCAAGCAGAATGTTTTATTAAAATTGAGAAAAATCTACCAGAGAAAGAGAACATCAAGAAATATACATTATGTGATAAAAATATAAGAAGAGGAATGTGCGAAAGTTCATGCAGGGCTAACAACCATGAGAAAGGCTACATAGCGTTCAAATATATTATTAATGTAGCTTTTATATAGACAGAAAGATATTATTAAACTTGTTTTGACTTAAAGAAAGTATTTTTACATATATATTTAAGTTCAAAATGATTGTATTTCTTCTGTGTAATATAAAGAAGAGCTATCTACAAGAAAAAAACTGTTTACATAAAGAATTGCAACTAAAACTACATATATTCTACTCATGATGTCCAGATGCATTGTCTGCATGCATGCATTTGCATCTATTGTCGTCTCTTTCGCACATTTACCTCTCTATCCAACATTGTTTCCAACCAATAAGCTCGAAAATCGACATAAGAGTGTTGCATCTGTAAAGTAATTATTAGTATTAGTAAGGTTACTACCGAATTAGTGTTGCCATATCACAAAAATATACATTTGGTAGGAATTGTTATATAAAATGATATGTTAGTGGTATTATTATTAATGTTATATAATATATATTTTACAGGTTTTTTGAAGTAGGTTATTAAAGAGCAGTGTGGCGAGGGCCTTATGTAATGATAATGAGGTTATGTTTGAATACAACTGACCTCACGCGGCTACAATACATTATATAAGACCCTTAAACTGGTTCATGACGCACGAGGAGCTGGAAGTGACCACAACACATGGTCCCTGTTCACTGTATGTTTATAAGTACGACAAGGTCTAATTATTGATTGTTAATTCATCGTTGACTTATGAAATATGTATTGACATAAATTATTTCAATTTATTTTAGTAATACTTAAAACGATTTGTTATTTACAAAATTATTTAAATTAAGATCAGTAACTCCAGCAAATTTATCAAATATACAAGTCGTAAAATGTATATTGTAGAACTCAAAGTTCTAAAAGGTAAGTTCTAGAATATTCTATAATAATAATATTAAAGTTCAACCTTGAGGATCCTATCCTGATGTAGGCCTGCCAGGGGAAGGTGCCGAAGCCAGCGTCATCACCGCCAACTATACGTCGTTGTGCTGTCTGCTTGTTTGCTGCAACACCACAACCTGGAAAAAGGTTACACTAGACTTAGTAATGAGTGACTCATAGTCTAGACTAAGCGTAGCTTACACTAGACTAGGTCAAAAACATAATATATAACGCTTAGAGAACTAATTACGGAGACTAAGTAATAAGCTGTTGTTGGCACCAAAGAATTTGAGAGTTGAGTTTGTACTCGCTCTGTCAAAATATTGATAGTGCGATTAGAAATTTAATGAAAAGGAATGTTTTGTATTTCCAAATGTTTATTGTAAATATCTTTATATTATTTACTTCGTAGGTTTTGGGTTTTAAAATAAAATCATTTAAGTTGTCATAATATAGCTTTTCTAGCTAACAACTTATTTATTTATATAAATTGATAATTATTAACTACTTCTCTTTTTGTTACAGAGCCTCTTTACCTTCGAAAATGTTCTTCTCTGCCGGTTTAACAGTTGTTATAAGTTTCGGAAATTTCAAAAATTTTAACACGTAAATAGATTTAAAACAAAACACGAACAATAAAACGAACACACAACACCTCATGATGGAGAAACTTCACACATACTAGTGAAACACATTATAACACTAACAGGAACTATTTGATTTAATTTCATATATTATTTTAGCATAAATATTAAAGTAAGAATAACACACGTCTTGAACATTATAATTATAGAAGGCGAGTGAAAAAGTCGACTCGAAAGTTACATCATATCTGGTTCATAACAAAACTTAAAAGGAAGCAAAAGTTCTTTAACGTAATTCGGCATTACTTTACGGAAACGTAACGTAGTATCGCTGGTCGATCAGGCGGAGGATACGAATGAGACAGATCTCCTCCGCTGATTACACGGAAAAAGATATTCTATATTTTATAACTCGAAATATCGATAGTACAAGTCTATTATTCTCGAAATGTCGAGTTACAAATTGCTTATTTTACGAGTAACTTACTTGTTCTAAATTATTCCATAATACTGTTTTTTTTTTAATAATAAAATGTATGAAATGTCGTTATTTTTTTATGAAATTGGTGTCAATGACGTATTAAATGTATATATTATGTAAGGAGGAAGCATTGTAAAGCCGCGGAACCAATCGGAATTACAGCCCGTGGCGTTTCGCGTGTTACATGATCAATTAACATACTTAACATGCTCCTATTATCATATCAACATTTATTAAGGTAAAGTATTATATGTGAAACGAAATTACTTTAACGGGAATACAAAAAAATCTGAAATCTATAGAAAAAATTAATTACCAATCCATTGCGCAAGATAAAGGAACTCGGTATTTTCAAGCCGCTGTTTTATCTTATATATTTATTCGTTTATTTATAGTATGTATTATTGATTTTATTAATAAATTTCCATGTTTAACATGAATGCCGTGGATTCTATCACCCGCAGTCTGTCACACAGTCTGTCTTCACTTCTAAAGAATCAGACACACAGATTTATTTCTTATGAATAATTAAATAGTTGGATTTCTAAAAAGTGGACGATAATATTTCTTTTAAAAAGATAAAGGAATGTGATTATCCAAATTATTGTCTATCTACTAAAGTTGTTGTTTTCCTAAATAATTGATGTATTTTAGCTGAATTTAAAAGGTTTATTCCGAATTAATAGTTTATTTTGGGTTTAACTTAAACACGACACAATTAGAATTAAGATCACAAGCTATCAAATGAATTAAAATCCATACATTAAAGAATAACTTCAGTACTTTAAATGATAAATTTTTTGTTTTGGAATCAGCAATAGAAAAAATTATAACCAACATAAGTAAAGACAAAAAATAGTGTATTTGATGAGCAATGATATGAACTTAAGTAATATGCATTCAGTGATGATTCGACACGCGGGTTACCGACTTAGAAAGTGGATGATTAGGTGTGTTTTGTGTAAACATGACTTGCATTATGGCGCACAGTCGGTTATAATGGACATTTGAATACTCACAAATTGTTATCTTTTACGTTTTCTATTGTAATTTCAATCAAATTAAACTGACATACCTTTATCTGGAGAACATATGATGTGAACCAAGTTTCTGATACAAATGACACAAAAAATTAAGATTAATTTGTCCTGTTTAACTCTTTGGGATGTCAAACTGTTACCTATTTCTTTTATCTAAATTAACCTTCTGATTGAGAGAGCTAATCAAAAGTATGTCTTGAATAATCAGTTGTTTAGTCTAAAGTAATTTTGTCTGAAGCAACATCTTATCGACTTTTACTAACAATAAGAATTTTAGAGGAGAATTAATTCCCTGACTCTGTTTGTTATTATCAGCTCAAGAACATAGTCCAAGTGAGTAGAGAGCGATCTCTTTGTAACACAAACGAGTAATAGTCCAATAGTCCAGGACCGATGGGAGTTCAAGAGAGCAATCTCTTTATAAAGAGCTATAGCTCAAACGAGTAATAGTCCAAGGCAGTACGCCGTGGTTTAACTGAGGACAGTCATTATTTGTGTGTACGTCTGTCACGGTGAAAGATGGTAACGCTTGAACTTTCACGGTATAGCCAACAGTGTGACGAGCGACATTAAGGAGACTTCACAATATGTTAGGTGATATTGTTAAAATACATATTACAAAGGTCGGGGTGGCCCAAAGGTTAAAGGCCAACCTCTCATGCATGAGGGTGCGGGTTCGACACCTGGCAAACCAAAGTGATTGTTCCGAGTCGTATGTACTTTATAAGAGTATTCAGACACCACTGACAGATGAAGGAAAACATCGTGAGGAAACATGGACTTATAATTATAAATTATAAATTTCAAATCACCAACCCGTTTTGAACAAGCGTGGTGATTACCTAATGCTCAAACCTTCTCCATGTGAGAATAGGCCTTTGCTCAGCAGTGGGCTCTGATAGGCTGATGATGATTACTCTAAGGCAATACAAATAATATCTTTGGATCATACAAATATTGAATATAATAAAACGCACCAATTTACATTATAATATTTTAAACTGGTAGATGTTCGTGTGGTTTCACTCAGCTATAAGATACAAGCCTTTCAGTTGTTAGAAAGTATTTTGTAATTTACATAATATGTTTCACTCATATACAACTGTTACTTTGTTTGATTACGATAACAACTTTTGTGTTATGATATGTGTTGCGTACACGCGACATATAAAAATAAATGAACATCGCCGGGGCCACATCGTTGTATGTATAAAATATATAACGAGTGACGCCGCTGACTCCGCGGAACGAACACCAAGCCGTGTGAACCAGAAGATTCCTGATACACACAAGCTATGGAATGGTATTGCTATCATAACATCGGGTCAATCACGTAGTCTTAGGTGTAGGTTATAATTTTTAATTATTATTAATATAATATACATATAAGTAATTATTATTATAATATACATATAAGTATGTTTCATAGTTCTCCCGGAACCTTGGGTAATTTACGTAGATTCGATTCGTGATCAGGCAAAATGTTGTGGTTGTATTCAGCATAACTATTTAAACTACGCAAAAAACCAAGCGTTGAAGTGATATGAGAGATAATATTAATACAATCTTCCATAATATGTTGTCAATAGCAAAATAATTTGCCAAATATATACAAGTATACGCGTATATTATTATAGTAAATACTAAGTATTACAAATGATTTGAAAGCTATACATTATACACGCTAGAGGACCCATAGCATTGTACCCCTTGAGCGATGGCTGTGAAATTACAGACTACCTCTCTAATACACACATTGAAAAACACTTTGACATTGGAAATATCCGTCAAATATTACTATATATGTGGTATATTATGAAATTATCATGATATGGGTGAAGGTTTGTCCTAAAGATTAAATATAATTGACATTATAAATATATATTTAAGTTTTATTTGGAAAATAACTATAAATACGCAAAATGGCAGCCATTATGAGTTGTGAATAACCACAGTTATGATACTTAAACAATTGTATTAATTCTCAGTAAAATAGTACCTAATTTCTTATACTTTTGTAATGTTATATACATACATTCACATCTCGTCTTGTGATCACGGTTGCTATAAAGTAACCCAAACGTCGCGTCAGGAGTATGTAGTTTTAAAATACGCGTAGTAATCCCAATAATATTAGTATCATTAACATTAGTACGTGTTTTCATCAAGTATAACTTCTGTACTGTCCGTGTTTGTGTGATAATGAGTTCGTTCTAAGGATGATCTAAGAACAGCCAAGTTTAACTAAACCGTTACATCACACGACGCGCGACTTTCACTTCTCGACTGGCGAATGATACGTCATCTTTGTTTATCAACATAAGAACAATTGGAAATAAATTTTTATGTGTGTGTGTTGAGTTTTAATAAACATATAGTATCAATTTATTTAATCAGTCTATAATTTGTCGAAATCATGTCAAAGACGATTTAAATCATTAGATTATTTTAATTATCTTCTATATATAAAAAATGGATTGCTGTTCCTTAGTCTCGCTAAAACTCGAGAACGGCTGAACGGATTTGGCTAATTTTAGTCTTGAAATACTCCTGAAGGTCCAGGGAAGGTTTAAAAGGTGAGAAAAATTTGAATAATTGCCGGGAAAACTCTAAAAACAGCCCTTTTCTATTTCCCATACAAACGATTTTTTGACATTAGACTTGACAACTCACTAATATGTCAATCATTCTGTTCGATTGAAACAGTAGAAATTTAATAAATACCAATACCGGGTTATTGAAGACGGAACAGAGTTTGCCCGGTCAGCTATACCTATATTACTAATGACGAAATTAACGCCGTCGAAGTCGCGGGCAAAAACTAGTATTTAATAATTATTAATTTTACTTATTAAAAAGATTAGATGTTGTAATCATTTCCTTTGATGAGTTTGTGACGAAAGCATTTATAACTAATTAGAATTAGTGATGCAAATTATAATATTTATGTGGAGAATTGTCTGGTTTGGTAGAAGATATAAGAGAATTTGATGTTGTCCAAGATCTGATGGAGAAATTTCAAGAAGTTATTC